GTTTGTTAATATAAGCTAACGTAAACGCATATAATCAAACAGTGCTCAAAAACCTTTTATAACTCGTTTGAGGTTCTCAAGCATAAAATGATGAAATGCAACAATGCGTATTGAAATTCTAAGAAGTTCACAAACGCTCTCAGAGTTATTTGTACCTACAAGCCTTTCTACGAACAGCGGGAGTGTAACGGGCCTGTTATCAGTACCTGCAACCAGGTTATCAAGTGCCGTGTATGCACTCTCTTATCTATGAATTCCACGCTTGTATGTTAGTTGTCTTAGGTTTCATTTTGTGTCCGCCAACAATTGTGCGATAGTGATAAAACACCTATTTATAGAGGATTATCTCAAGCGGTGATGTTGTGTTCTTTACTCACACTCTTAAAATATGATTGTGTTGGATACGTATATGTATGTATGTATACAGTTATCTCAGTGACATTGCCCACTTATCATTGTTATTTGGTACGCGAGACGCTAGACTCATTATAAGTAGGTGGATACGAGTCACTTAACATAAACGCGCGACATGAAAATATGGTCGGTTTTTTCATTGCATCGCATGAGCAAATTACAGAGCATTAGTTATTCACATGTAACCGCTAACTCGATTAGCACAAGGCCAAAACGAGGTATGCGACCTCTTTGCTTGTTTAAAAAACTGCAAACAGGTTTTACCTGCCAATTTATCTACGCGTGGCAAGTTATGCTTGCACGACGAAGCAAATTTATAAAAACATCTATTAAAAATAATAGGATACGAATAGTCATTGCAAGACCTACTTAACAAAAAGTAATGAGGTTTTTGTAGTGGTTCATTTGCAATCAATTGTTGGATAATTAAAAAAGTATTATGCTTCCGTACAGGCAATAAAACAATGAAAGAGAATCATTTATATTTTATACTTAATTAGTTAATATAGTGTTGATTTTCAAAGTCCAAACATGTTTGTATTCAAAAAAATTTACAATACAGCACATTTATAACTATACCTAATCTTAAAATCCTATGCAAAATCCCAAGTATAAACATTAATTTTATTTATTTGACCTGTAAGCTGAACTCTTTGTTTTATTTATAAAACCAAACGTAGAACGGATAGCTTGTCACGGAATAGTTGGGAGTGTGCCAAATCGTTAACGCGTTGTAAAATGTTTTTGGTATGTTGGTCAACGATCGCTATTTGTTTATACATTGTATACAACAATACGCCGTTTTACCTACCACAACATCACTGTTTATGGTATCCTATGTTGGCGATTTTTTCACAAAAGACAATCAGTTCAGTTCAGTCAGCAGGCTATTAAAAATTCAATGAATATTCAGGACAAAAGGAATTCGTACACATAATTTATTTTCTTATAGCTGGTAGTAAACTATTGGTAATTATAAACCTTTTCTTCATTAAAACTGTAACAGTACAGCATATTTTTGTAGACATAGACATGATGGTTTCAAACTTATTGGGTTCATAACCCAACACATACCCATAGCTGCTCCTGCTATCACTGCCTCCATGCATCTATCTTAAAGACAAAATTAAACGTCACTTTATTTTTCTTTCTTAAAGGTTGTTTGGAAAAAAGTAGAGGCATTTAGCGTGCTTCCCTTTTTGTTTTGGTACTTATCACTCGACCAGACGTCATGGTACGTACTGCCAATCGAATAATAAATACCCTCTTTATGTTACCAGCCTACATTGTTAAATTTATCGTTTCAAGCTGTTTCATTATGTTAATCGTGCGTCGTGATTAGCGACATCTGCCCTTCCTGTGCTTATAATATGGGCTCTGTTGTTGGGTATACAGTGTGTGGATTGAGGATAGAATTGAAGGCAGGACGGGTGCTGCATATCACCGTCAGGTGCGCTCTCTTTGTAGGCGAGGGGGGCACCTCCCGGCCTCCCCATTTGCTCACCCCGACTCCGACCTCACACCCGCGCGCCGTTCACTTGTTGCTACGTAGTCGCTCGCAGCGAGACTGCCGCGACTCACCTCCCCCCGGCCCCTTCCCTCTGTACACCACTTCCCTTCCCCGCATTTTAGTTCTTTGTGCGCCACTGAGGTTTTCGCACGTTCGTGCTGTGCCATGTAACGTTCGCATCAAATCATTTTGATACAGTCGTGAATTGTATATAATATAAATTACATAGCATAGCCAACTGGATTTTGTGAGTGTGAGGTGATTTAATAATTGGTTTATAATATCTTTCGTCTACATCAACGCAAGCAGCAAGGATTTCTAACTAATATAAATCATCTACGAGGATTTTTGTGAATAATCTATTGTGATAGTGACTATCATTGTGTTAATACGAGCATCGAAGATTTTTGTGCTTCATTTACTTAATTGTGATTTAATAAATTGACAAAGCTGTTTTTGAAACAGTGTATTGATCTCTGCTAATTCATCTGAAACTGTAAGTTCAACTTTTTGAAAATAGTGCTATTCATTAGTGGGATATAGAAGTTAAAATTTTTAGTGACGTAAGTTCCTTGTACTAAGGCAATTTAAATTTTTAATTGGTACGTTTTAGTGTTCGAGTAGGTCACTATTACGAGTATTACGACTTATAAAATTATATATGATCAATCAAGATAGTCGGGAAAATTGATATAGATTAAAATAAGCGTGGGATCCGATTAATTGCAAAATACCCATGTCTGAAAAGCTTAACATTATGTATACACAAGGCAGTCCTTTAAACTATAGTTTATGCTTTTATTTGCCGTTATATTGAATTTTAAATTGTGATTAATTACTTTTCAATTATTAACAAACACTGGATAAGTTTTTAACCATAGGTTGATTTTTGTAACGCGCAATAAAATGGAATGAGGTTGACACGTAAGTAAGAGAGCATACCTAAAGTTGTATCCAATTCTCAGAATTACCAACGTCGCGTCGCGCCATCTACCCGATTATTAACAGTGGGATACAAAATGCTGATGATTCGGATTAATTGCGTATTTAGTTATGTAGACTGATACCTAAATATGTGATAAATAATAGGATCTTTTACAAACTTACTATATTTTATCAATCGATATAGTACCTATAGATACCAGAAATGGCAAAGCAGGTTAACATTATACTAGAGTAGAGTCGATAGCGAAATTGAGATTTGCCAACTAGGTAGGTATGTAAGGTTAGACTCATTAGACTGATAATAACGATTTGAAGCGTAGACTTCTTATGCATACAGTACTTATTGGTCTTAAAATGTTATCAGTGTGCAGTAGATAGCAACTTTTTATCGAATTGCGCGTTTTATCACTATTATTTATTATCGGCTGACCTGCAGTTTTGGTCAATTCTTTGATAATAGGAATCAAATATGTCACTGCTCTTTTTGATCGATGCCTGGAATTAATATTTTTTTTATTTAGTAGACTTTATTATGAGATAGTTAGTATCTAATTTGGTAGTTCAGATATTTATATATTATGTATATTTGTATGTGCAGTTGTTTATTTTGTAAATGACTTTTTCGTTTATTATATGACTAAAGATTAATTTAACTAAAGCACGCACAGCAGTTAAACAGTGACGCACTGTGTGAATTGTTTAAACACATTATCGTAACACTCACGGCCGTCTAGACCGCCAAATGATACATAATATTTAATGTATTGTTGACATAAGTGACGTGTATAAATAAGTACATGCCGTTGTCTATGCTGGAAATCAGGAATTCCGGTCACGAACAATCGGGGAACGTCGTGAGATGTTAGGGAGATTGTAGCGAGCTCGCCTCCGTGCGCTTTCAATAGCACATTGCGCAATTTACTGCACGAGCCGCACGAGTCGTGAAGTCGAGCCACACTATACTGTATCTTCAAGGTGGTATTGCATTCTTAAGTCACGATAAAGGAACCCACTATCCGCGACTATTTATCCCACAATCTATTCTATCAATTTAGGAATAGCAATGAAATAAGATAAAAGGGTGTCAACATCTTTAATTTCGTCTAATGGCGTAAACACGCCTAAACTAGGTTGTGACTTTCAAAGCGAATAATAATGCTATATCGAGTAATTTGCGAGCCTCATTTAGAAAGTGAGAATCGAGTGCGGTTTGTGGCTAGCCTGCTCTAATTTAGAACTAGATATCTTCGTTAATACACATCGCTTTATGTAAGCTCCCGTAAATTATTTAATTGCTTTATTACGGAGAAAGCTACGTCGCAGGCAAATGTCGGATTAACGGTTATTCTCTTAGTGGAAGTGTTTCATTACACGGTTGGCGAGCTGATATGCTTCAGTGCGTTTAACAAGATGGCTTTGAGTCGACAAATACGCTCAGATAACATAGTAACAAGTTATTCGAGATTATTGAAACACGACCGGTTGGTCCGTCGCCGTTCATGTATTAACGTGGCTCATAATTTGCACAGAATCTAATATTAGGCATTGGACATAGGTACCCGATGTACTGGTATTTATCGTATTATTTTTTTAAGCATGTTTACTTGTATATTTTTGTGTAAGCATTTCATAAATCTTTTCTGTACCCATGACTTTGGTATGCGCAATATTTGATTTATGATTGATAGAAGCAAGTCACGCGCTCTGCCGAAGTTGTACATGTCTACGTATAACTTGCATTAAGCGGACGAAATGGTCTGATGATTTCGACCTTTTGACCTCATCAGCTTCGCTATAATAGAATGTTAGTGCTCAATTGACGCGTTCTTATTAGAATAGGCAATTAAACTTTGACGTAAGTGTTAACTGTGTTCTTGCGGTTTAATATTCTAGGAAAATCAGTAGAGGCGGTTAGTTGAGTGCACAGCAAACTGTAATGCACCGAAATGAATCACGTTAATACATTGTGTAGGTACCTATTTGCATGAATTTTTTGAGATGTAGCGTTAAAGTATCCTTAATTATTCGAGAAACCACCCCGAATTATTCAACCCATTTATACGGAATTTATCATGTTTTTTTATACATAGCCACCACATAGCTAACTATATGCTATAGTGTATTCTCAATTATGGCTTTGGGTTTGCCCTTCATGAATAATTCAAATTTTCGTGGTCAGGATTTACTGCCGTATGTCGGCGTCGTCGGTAAGCGCTGAGCGCCCGTCGAGTTCCTCATGTGAAGTTTTTACCCTTTCTTTCCATTTAATGAAAAGCTCTCACCGGTTCTGCCGCCTCCCGGCGTTTGTCTTGTCAGTCAACCGTTGTCACTGTGCGACGTTGCCGCACTTCCCCATAGAGTTATTTGTTACCCTATTGTCCCCCCCGCTGATCACTGTCGCATTGTTTCACAACTTTTGTTTACATTCGTTCAATGGGCGTTTGTTTGTAAAGCGGCAGGTTTGTTTTCTCCGCCTCGTGTATTCTTTTAACATTGTAAACAGCTGGAGCTTGTTGAATTTCTTGTTATCGAATATTGTTGACTAAAACATCTTTCGTTTCATTGGCAAGCAATAAGTAACGCTATCGTAGCCATTGTTATTTTGCAATTCTTTTTGTCTACACGCCTACTCAAGTACGTTTATGTATCGGTCGCTATTACGTCAACGTTTTTCCGTGGTTCCGCAATTAGATTAATCTATTTTCATATGTGACGGCTATTTCTTTTAAAATTTTCATATGTTTGTTTTATGGATTACATTCCTAATCTTTCAAGAAACAATCAACGACTGTTGTTTCACGCTGTGTTGCATCACTATTCTTCCTTTTGATTTCAGTGGGTTATCACCTGAGCGAATAAGGAATGCCATGCCATTATTTAGCGAGGTTTCGCCCTAACCGGTCCATGACCAATTGTGGTGAGTAATCTTCGGGTGCATTAAAAATGATGGCTCGAACTAAACCGTATCGCGATACATTATCATATCATTATGCGCCGGCAGAGATGAGATCTCCTGCCTCACCCACTCGGTGAATAATGACCGCCGGCACACCACGATCGCAGTTTCTTCTCCGTATTTGTTTGTGTATAATTATTTTATGCGATTATGTAGATGGAAATCCTCGTTAACAGCTCTCTCATTAAAATTCCTTTGTTGTTCGCTCAACACGCAGACTGGTTCTTTTGTGTAGATGACACGTCGAATTCGAGATGTAAATGCATGAAACATAACATAACTAAATTGAATCGTTTCACAATCTAAATAGTATTTTATTTTCTGAAAAGTAGTACTTCTAGTACTTATGTTCGACGAAATTAAATTATTGTAATGACGTTTTACGTGAATCACTTCGAAAAAGTGCCTAGAAATTCGAACGTTGTTTGTTCTTATATTTTTTAGAAATACCTTTTATATAGTTGTCATCCTGTTCCGGTACAACTAACATACCTGATTATAATAATCGATATATCATGTAGTGTTCGTGGAATATTAAGTAAAAAAGTCACGCCTTTACTTATTTACCGTTTAAGTACTATAAATATGTATGCTGCATGTAACACAATCTGTTAAGTTTATAATGAAGCTAGTTACGCAATTGTAAATTGATTAGTCACGTTAACACTACCATTTACGACTTAGTACTCAATACAATACCGTTTATTTAAGTATTGCTATGTTTTATGTTTAAAGATAATGAAATTATTATCGTCCACGTACTTCAATACATTATTTTACGTATCGCAGCGTGGCTTTCGTGTGAATGGGCTTATTTTGGCGTCTTCCCAAACGTGCCGAGACGACGCGATTCAGGGCTGACGTCAGCCATTTGAAAATATGCAGCTGGCACCTCGTTGATAAAACAATACTCATTCGTTTTGACAGGAGACATGCCTTTGATAAATTATGTTTAATTTATTCACCTTTACTGAGGCTTTGCCAAAATTTTAAGTTTCCTCATTCCATTTGTTTATACCAGCGGCTAATGTGTACTTCTGAATTGTTTCAGGTGTCGCAGAAAGTGTGAGTGCAAGTGATGTCGTTGAAGTCAGTGAGGAAAACAAGTGCGTGAAACAGGAAGAAGTGAGCAAGCCGGAGGTGTGCACCAACAGTGAGTGTGAAGTGAAGAGTGAAGTGAGTGGTGGTGTGGGCGCGGATGGTGTTGCCAGCGCCGTGGCCTCCGAGGAGGACGACTGTGTGATAGTGTGCGCTCGAGATGCGGACGATAGGTCTGACTCGGGAGTGAGCGGTGTGCGTTCGGGCGGCTCGGCCAGCTCGGTGGAGGAGCGCGAGTGGCGCGGCATGGCGCACGGTTACGGCGGTGGTCCTCCCCCGCCCCTGTTGCACCTGCCCCCGCCACCGCCCCCTACGCTTTACAGCAGTGAGCTGCTGTGGAAGCAGCGGTACCAGTCACCTATTCATCCACCGCTACACCATGAGATCGCTGCGGATTATCTGGCGGCTGCAACCTACGATAGAGAGAGACATGAAAGACTGCTACGGTGAGTTGTCTTTTTTTTTAATTGTGTACACACATTGAAATGAAAATGTTGATCATTATAATAAATAGTTCTACTCTCTCTCTACTAAGTGTGGCAGACACTTCATTGTGGCGCATTGTGGTTAAATGATGAGACATATGAGGAACAAAACCTACGCGAAAAATAGATAAAAACAGTCTTTAAAGCGATAAAAAGTTCTGCACCGATGTAGCCTAAACTTGCACTCAGCTCGGTACAGAACTTTTTGAGTTTTTGAAGCGAACCCGAACCATCTTAACATTTAAAATAAATAGAAAACATTCTTGTTTTAAAAGTTCCGGTCAGAACGATATAAAAAGCAAACGAGCTGACCTCTCAACGAGTAATTTTGTGGCTGTTTCATAATTTTTTTTATCAATGTCATTTGCTTGCTTTTGGTAATTTCGACTTAATGTGTAAAAAAAGAAAAAGATCGAGATTGCGAAAAATCAATTCTATCGTTGTAATAGAAAACGTACTGTTGGTTATTTATCGATATTGTTATTAAGTGTTAAGGACATTTTACAATGTACTTCTATTAAGCTATTACTCAATAGCTCATGCTTTATTTGTATGTGTAAAAATTATCTACACGTACTTCATAGAGCTTGGTTACGTATTTTTAAACGAAGGGAATACCACTTAATGACGCAGTTACTTACTCGCTGTATATTTACTGGTACGAATAAATTCAATATCAAGAATTTTTACCTGTTTCTCCTGAAACTGCAAATAAGAAGTAAGTGTTATTAGTCATACCTGATGACAAATCTAGCATAGTTTTGGATTGTATTGACTAAAACTTAATTATATCCCAATAAATATAATTTTGTTTAATGTTTTTTAACCATAGCATACTGAAAAAGTGGGCATATTTTTTTTACTACTTGAAGGAATTAATAATTAAATTGAATAACAGTAATACGAATCACAGCTTAAACTTAAAAGATCAGGATATAAACAATTAACAATATAAAAGAGAACTTATTTATAGTTTAGTCAACGATACAACACGACCGTGAACTAAGAGTCAGTTCCATCAGCTCGGTCGCACGTGCATCGCATTATTTGGCATCATATCGCAGCCAACAAAAAATAGTGGGCAGTCATCTCATCAGCTGTCACATTCAATTATGTGTTTCTGTGTTCATTAGCTAAATTACGTATGTGTTCTTGTTCATTTGATGATAAATTTAAAAGTAATAAAAAAAAAAACGCTTTAAGTAGTAAAACAAGGTAATTTAATTTAAAATAATAGTATCATTACTCAAGGTTTATTTAAAATCAACAATATTTTGTTTTAATCAAAAAGTAGGTAGGTGCTGATGTAATCTAGGAAATTAATTAGCAGAAATGTACTAACTTTAATCAATTAAAAAATAGAGATACGTTACTTTTCGTACCAATAAAAATATATAATATGCTTTTGGCATTATCTGCGTATCCAAATAAATTAGATGACTGTTAATTAAACGTTAAAGAATCTTTGTTTAAATAAACCTATACATATTCCTAGTTATATATTTCACATTATCATCGCCAGTCTCGATTGCAAGGCCAATTTCGTTAGTACAAATTTGAGTAGAGAAGAATTAGCCACACGTCCCTTCGCAGACCTTGAAAACAATTGTCACTATTTAACAGAGTCAATTTCTTATGGATATAATGTAGAATTACAAAATATTAAATAAACACTAATAGAAAACTGATAAATTAAACTACAACTACATAGTATGTCCTAAAACACTAAACATTAATATATCCTTAAATGTTGTTTTTCTTTTAATTTATTGCTTTATTAAAATATATATAAAACTGTGTCTTTGACCTTAGCATTGTTTTAATTTAATGACTCGATTGACCTCATAAACATTTCCGGATATAAAACAAGTAAAACTTGGTTATTGCGTGAAGGTGAGAAACACATGTAAATAACAGAATCATTTTTAACACGGAGCCAGATATGATTGCTTAGTCAGGTTGCAATTATTTACCATGTACTAACTTGTTATACAAAAGATAAACAGCGGATGCCTAAGTGCGGTTGTGACTTCTATTCATTCGCGATAAAAGATAAGTAAAAGGGCGCTGTTTGTTCATAATAGTGTCTTATAGCGCCCTAAGTGATTGTGTTGAATTTGCATACTATAGTTGCACAAAAAAGGTGTGTATGTTGTGTTATGCTATATTATCATACTTTAATAGGACGGAAGACGTAATTAGTATTTATATATTATATAAATACTAATTACGTCATCACATCAATGGACATAGGCCTCTACTTAGAAAGGAGGTTTATTATTATTATTAGGTATTAGAATAAATAATTTACGCGGAATAATTTACTTTTTCAAAAAACGCCGGCTTCCACATTCACACATACTTGAAGATAGTGCGATACAGCGGTCCATATATTTTTAGTCCACCAAATGATTAGTTTTTAATAATTCTAATAAATTTACACAGCTCACACACGGTAGACTAATCCCAAACTAGGCAGAGCATGTGCTATGGTAACCAGACTACTGTTACACCTACCTACTTAAATATTTCTAAATACATACATACGAGTATTATAGATGAATTACACCTAGACATAGAACAAATGATCGTGCTCGTCACACAATATTCCCAAAGTGGTCGAACTTGGTTATGGGGTCTCAGATTTTAAAAAGGTTCCCAAACTATTTAGGTCTCTTGACCTAAATAGTTTGGGAATCTGCACTAGGCCAACAGGCCAGTCACGATTAGTTGTAGCCATCGCAAATTCTGCATGATTTTATTAATTTGAAGAATTTTCTACGTATAATAATAAAAATTCAAGGACATCATATTTTGTCGTTCTTTTAATTGCCTTCTCCTTCTTCAAATATTTTTAAGATTTGTTGAACTTTCCGGTTGTGACATTCTGAAATTCAAGGATTAATAAATAATCTAGTCAACATAAGCTTTGTCATGTGGTCTGTACTTGTCATGTGATTTCGAATGTAGTCTTCTGTCATTTTAAACTTAACAACAGCATTTTTTTTGAAAATAATATAAATTGGTGGACTCATCGGTTAAAATCCAATAAACCTCTGAGGATTTACAGAATACCACAATAAGGAAAGAGCCTTTCTGCACAATTGCACAGTCGGGTAAAAGGTGTGCAATAATAAAAAAGTATAGCATAATTGGGGGCGAGCCAACGTTCTGTTGTGTTCGGTATTTCTGCGTAATGTTTCGGAAACGATTACTTGAATATTTATACATATAGTTTAAATCGTCCAGACGGCCACGAGTTATTTAAGTCTACTGTAAATAATTTAATAGTCTCACACGTCAAACTATATTTCGTTGTCCTACAATATCTGTAATTTATTTCTTTGTTCAAATATTCTCTTAGAGGTAAGGAGGCCGTCAATGTCAGTGAGGCGATATTTTGGCTAGCGACCGCTAGGAAATGTTTCGACATAATATCACCTTTGATTTGGCAATCGTATAATGATAATTTCAGAATTCTTGGAGCGTTTGTATAAGCTTCTACCTGAGCCGTGTACAGATCGATGTTTGTATAAGTATAACATCCATTTCGTCACCCTCACCGTCACCGATTGTAACTATGAAAGTATCCGAATTACGATATGTACGTTTTTTACGCATATTATTGCCGTAGTGATCAAAGACTATAGTACGACTAGTAAAGACTGTATGAGAAAGCAAAATTGCCTAATCAGCTACGGAGACGCCGAGTGTACGAGGTGCTTCTTTATGACAAGAAATCAGAACTACTTAGGAGAAACCAAGTGACGGAAATACAGATCCGGGTAGTTTAAAACATCGAATGACAAAGCTCTGTAGCCAGGAGAAAGGGAACCATGGGAGTCAGGAAACGAGGACTCGAACTCTCTTTACTTCATAAAAACTTTAAAATTGTTTGAAATCGTCTTTTATGTAGACTCTAAATTCATAGATCAACACACACAATGGCAACAACAACAAAGCATCTCTGTTTTGTGAAAAAGTAAACAAAAAAAAAATCTTATACAAAATATTTGTTTTTTTTTTAAATACAACTCCCGCATTAGGAATACATTCCTGTGTCGCGGGGGACTTTACAAACATGGTGGGGTTTGAACCCACAACACTCGGCGTAGTAGGAAGCGGCGAGGTGACCGCTTAAACCACTACGCCATCATTGCAGTCATCTATGATATGCCTGTGCCGATCTACAACCGCCTGTTTCCAAAAAGAAAGGGCAAACAAACTCATGGTCACTCTTTTGCAATTAACAGATAGATAAAATGGCATTATTAAATATACCACAACATTGTTTTGATTTGTGCCAGTTTGTCCGTTATTAAGGACTAAAAGGTAAAAAGACAATGAAGAGAAAACAAGATTAAGACAAAACGGAACGGAAAAACGGACGTCCCGTAACTCATAATTTCGTTTGGATCAACGCCAATGCAAATATTTACTTACATTACAAAATTAAACGCGGCGTCCCAATTTCGACAATTTAAAAATCCGAAAGATGTAGACTGTTCAAATATTATAAATTAAAATAATAAACGGACAAAACCACAAAAACTGCATTAAGGCTAGGTGACTCATGCTCAGGGCTGTTTCCCTTTGTCATACATTTTTAACCACATGATTAATTGTGGCTTACAATGTTGTTAAAATCCATTATTTTCCTCTGAGTCTCGGGACTAGGACCATATTCTTCGACCAAGGCACGTTTATGAGGAAATATCAAACAGGTATAAATGCTGACGTCTTGGTATTTTCCTTGTTTGTTTAAACATAAAATAAATCAGTTTTAAGAAAAACAAGTCTACGTATCGCAATGAAGTTCGGATTTTAAAAACCTAACATATTTTTACAAAACATGTTTCACAAACGCATATTTACGTGCAACAGGTTACTATTTAGTATTGTTTGTAAGAAACCTTGTTTTAGAACTGTTGTTGCAGTGATAATCCATATAAAACATTACCTACTAAAAGTCTAAAGTGCTACCCTATAAATTTCAGAAACTACTCATAAATTATGGTAGACTTTTTATATAGCCTTTATTAGGCAGTAAAACCAATTTACCCGATGCTAACAATAACCGTGGCGTAATCAGCACTTTTTATAGACCGGTCGTAAAGATAAGAAGGTGTAAACAGTAAGTACGTATAGGATTGTAGTATCAACACTATAACATTGCCTGTTGTCATATTTGCATGTGAACTATTTGCAGTAGCAGAGACGTGTAACATAAATATGTGGCTACAGCCATGTGATTTTGCCTAATTCATGCTAAAGGTATAGCGATATAATTCTAACTAAACAGCTTCAGAGGTCACATTTCTTAGTATCTTAAAAAAAAGCATAATATCGACGACTCTCATGTGATAATATATAATAACCAATATTATCGATGATGAACCGGTTCTTAAAGATTCTGTTGGTGTTTGATAGCATATTGATAGAACTTTGCTCGATCGAGTAATGCTTGCACTCGTGTATCGCGCTTTAAACTCAGGAACTCGCTAGAAACCCTGACATAGAATAATAAGGCTACAATTAATTACAAAATTTAATAGTTTTAGACTACATTAACATCATTAGTGCTAATTTAACGAATACTTTAATGTCTCTACTATTCTTCGTTCGACATTGAACATGCAAGCCGGATGTCTATTATGTATGTACATATCTATGCTGTTAATGTATTCTTTAACAATGGTCAATTAAGTAGTATTTATTTTAAATTATAAAAAAATAAAAGTAACTTTAACAAACATTCTCAGTTCATTGCGAGGAGGTTTTTTTAAAAAAGAGAATTTTCTTTTTGACTGTTCATCCTCCTTGCTGTTTTCGTCACAGACTTAGAAGAGACTTCTTCTCTTGTGTACGAAATGGACATTGCTCTTTCCTGGTAATATTACTATAAGGCGGAAAAAGGCAACATCTTGAGTCCTAGTCGTTTGTACCGTAACCATACGGGTGTGACAAGCCTTAAGGCTGGTTTATTGTAGACATGCAATTAGTAAATTCATTGTGAATTGATAAGCTAATTTAGCAGCGCTAAACTATAAACGTGTTTTAAATAAATAAGTAATGAATATGTAAGAGGAAAATCTATTTACATATGTACATATTAGATTAACCTTGTAAACTTCTAGTCAGTTCTTATTGTTCATATCAGATATAAGCAAAAAATATATATTATATGAATAGTAGCTTTAAATGTGGCATTAAAATGTGCGTCACCTTGACTCGTCGCATTCGGAATCCGAATAATTTAGTGTGTTTAGGCGATAATCGTGCGTTCGTGTTTTTGATATTTATTCTTTGATAACATTGGCTGGCAGGTGTGCAAGTTTACACTGCGTTTGATAATATTTTATAACTGGAATTGGAACAAGAATAAACATAATGATCATTTTGTTATTTCCTTGTGCATGACGTAATTATGTTTTGAATAACATTCATGGATATTTCAACAATTTGCCTGAATTCTCACTTACAAGTTACATATTTTCTATACTGAAAGTAGGTTTCGGGTAAAGTTAGGTATTTATTATTATGTAAAGTCTTAGGTATTTATTATTATGTAGGTCCTGTCCGCACAGCATATTTTACACATGGGATCTATGTAGAACTATCCGAACTGCCGGAAAAAAAACTCGCGAAAAATATCTGTGATTTGATACAAAATGAACACGATACGGAGGCGATTTATGTCCACAGAATTTTGCGAATAAAAAAACTATTGCTGAAACTATTGTGAAATATTGCTGTGCAGTCCCGGGCCGGGACCGGGCCCTTACATTATTTGGTACGGAGACATTTATGCCATTAATAAGAAATATAAAAGTATAAATTATTGTACCCCGATTTACATATCCCTTAAAAAATGTAGATGATAAATGAATTGACTGAATAAAAAAAAAAACAAAATTAAAATCAAACCATTCATTAAGCTACCATGACATTGACAAACGCACAAACATACAGACACATTATGCGAGTTATGCTTCGGGGTTAAGAAATAATGAAAATTATTTGTGGTATTGTTTAACTGTAAATAGAGCCCTTACAATCTTTTCTATCAGAACGCATTAGCAAGCATAAAGTATTTCTCAATGGAAACCCAGGGATGAGAAGAATGCTAGAAATGCATAGCATGAAATTTCCTAATCGCTATAGTAATTATGAGAAGATCTCCTTTGTATATTGGATATTCATGGTTGGTACCACAATAGAACTGGAACAATCACTTCATTATATTTATTGTATTCTAATACTCATATGAGTCTAGCAACAGCAGTCCTCATACAAAAATAGTCCATATATGTATGTCATTGACTAGAATGTTGGCTCTGAGTAAAGCAGAAATATTTTAGCACAACACTTGTATCTAAGGTAAATGAATGAGGCTGCAATAATATTCATAAAAAAACACTGATATGCTAAATTTATGATTCGTGACGATTCATGTTTGTATTAACGCCTTATTATGGAGAACTTATTGCATAGTACGGATCGTTGCTTTGAATTTCTGCAAAGAAAAGTATTTCTATGCTTCATTTTTTATGGTAAAGAGGCAATCGAGCAGATAAGTAAGAAAATTGCCACCACAACAAAATTATAAATAACCAATAATCAGTTTTAGATTTTCATTCATTCATAATCACTAACCGATAAAATGTGTGGTAAAGGTAAACGAGACTTATTTCAAGACTGCGGTTGAATAAAATAATAAGTTGCAGTCAGTATATAAGTAATTAACTGTGACATTATAAAGTACTTTACATAATTGTAATCGGGATTTTTCCATTTACGATAGTGTTATCCAATTTATCTTGTTCATTAAAGAGTTACGTGGTTCGTGTTTAGGTATTAAGTGCATTAATATGTACATAGCAATATTTTAAGGAACGGACTAACTATTTTAGGTAACGGACTAGGAAGTTACCAAAATATCGACTAATTTGTATACATCTTGTCATTGGTATGTAAAAAAAGCAAACATTTTTTCTTCGTTATTTGTTATTACATAGGGTTAGATATAGAATGTATCAAAAGAAGTACTGTTTTTATCACTTGCATATTCAGCACTAATAAAATACCCAAAAGAATGGTCAGAAAAGATCGTCATCATGTTTAGTTTTACTTTATTTGATTTAGTCTCCATTTAAAAAAAAAATGTTGCTTGTCTTAATTTTATAATCACAACCTTTTCTCTAAGTTTCTATCAATTGATAAATGCATATCTGTAAGCGAGGTAGTATATAGCACACTCAATCGTGAAAAGTTGAGCATATTTTCAATCAGTACAAAGCAAGTATGCAATCGTATCACAGTTCTGTTTGAAGCAAAAAGGTAGGTGTTATCATCTGCGCGAGTGACGCACGACAGCGTCGTTGACAAAGATAAATCTAGTATTAGCTCTAAATATACTAAAAAATTTAGTAAAGAACTTAAATCGACATAGTGATAATACTTATCTATGTTTTTAACCAGTCAGTTATCCTACATAACTTTGTTTTTCTCTGCCAATACGATAAAGGTCAGTTGGCGAGCATATCCTAGTATTCTTGAAAATCGTTATCTTTTTTAAATTTAAAAGCCCTTTTGCCTTTTTAAATTTAAATAAATAAACCTGTCGTTTCACAAATTCGTTTGACTACAATTCTAGATCTTTTCACTTACTATATTATCTCCATTGATATAATCTATACTCTATGATCACATTATAACTTAACAATAAAAACTCAATTCGCTTAAAAGTATTATAGTTTTAAACCGAATAACGCTGTGAGTATTCTACTCACTGGTTTATTAGGTATTACTATTTGGAATTCAGAACTTGTGATCAGATTTCCTTAAACTTCATTCACAGTCAAAAAATTGTTGAGGCCATTACGCCAAACTGAAAAATGATGAACTAATAAACAGTAGTGTCAAAATGTTGTGAAGTGAACTGACCCACACAAGGCTACTTGACCATACCTTTTTCAAACTTGAAACCGCCTGCCTAGTAATTTTCAGTTAAAATTCAAATAAAAATAGATAACAGAAAAATATTATGTTTATATGTAACGACAAAATCGACCTTGATTATTTTCTAGCTATAGTTATGTAATAGGTATAGTTTGAGTAAATACTTATTTTTAAAATGATTTTTATTAGGATCTCCCTGGCTGAAATCATATATAATTTTAAAACTCTTAGCGAAGTGTCAAAATGTAAGATATTGACATTTTAGCTGCTTTATTAAGTTAGAGAATCTATTACATAAAAATAATTAAATAAGACTTAGGTAAGGGTTTTTACTGATTCCGACAAAATATATACTTTTATATTATTGACACTCGTTTTCTTTAGTCATTATGAGGTCAGTCATATATTTTGTAATGTACAATATATTTAGTCCGTTTGTTTTGTCACTGGTAACATTTATTAGTATATATAAATAAATATTTAAGTAAATCTCAATGGAATCCGCCTTACCTCTAATTAAAGTGTCGGTTAGTTTAACTCAACTTAAAGCCACTTCTGCTTTAATAGCTTTTAAATTCACGGCCATTATCACTAATTGCATCAACGTGTTACAACTATTATGCCTAACAATATACAATCAACTTCTATTCTTCGTGAGTGTTTAGTTATTTATGTCATAATTTCATTGGTTACAGAGATCGAAGAGATCAGGAGCAACAACGGGAAATGCTGGAGAAGCAGCAGAAAGAAAGAAAGGAGAGAGAACGGATAGAGCAAGAACGAGAAAGGGAACGTGAACGTGAGAGGGAGAAACAGGAAAGAGAAGAGAAAGAAAGAAGAGATCAAGAAAATGCAGCCTCGAAACTTGTTTCGAGACATTTCGAGGAATCTTTTAGGCTGGCTAACCAAAAGGTAATTTTGTGACGAATGTGTAAAATACGAATTTTAAAAATTGTCAAGATAGACGTGATAAAAATGAATAGGAATCTTATGATAACTAATAAAGGTTATTTTCTTTTTACACAGCGGGAGCGCATGTCATGGTCACTACTGCACAGCTTGGGGCCGAACCGAGGGGCTCCGGCGCCTGAGCACGAGCGTCTACGTGCTCCACCCCCAGATGGGCGATATTATTCTCCGCCCGGGCACCCACCCCAACACCCCACGCATCCCTCCCACCCTTCACCGCGACCACCGGCGGGATCCCCAGCCGACTACTGTCCGCCTCATGCGAGGATCTCTATACCTTCGAAACCTGATAAACCTACCCCTCATCCATCTCTACCTAAAGGCGAACCCAATTTTGCGCCTTATAGCGCCTTATACCCTCCCTACCGCGCATATGAGAAAATGAAAGACCAGCACTTACCAGCACCGCCGCCACTGGTTCCTGAGAAAAACTCTGTGATAGTAAAACACGATGCCAAGCAGATCCACCTAGAGCAGAAGCATCCATATCCAAGTAAACCTCGAAGCGAGCCGTCCCCACACTACCTTCCATCAAGACCATACCGAACAGGACCCTCGCCACATGCGCCGCCACACCCACATCCCACACTTCAGACCTCCTCGCCACATGCTGCTTTGCCAGCCCAAGATAAAAACGCACGGCGGATGTATCAACCTCCACCCCCACGTTCCCCAGCATACTATCAAACCGCTCCCCCTGTGAAGCCAAAAGTGTCCAGCCCGGCACCACCTCACATATATGGTAAGCCGAGCAACTCGCCAAGCCCAGCGCATTATGGGGTTGCAGTTGAGCCCCCGCCCATGCCTCTTACTAAGGTAGAACCGCCGAAGGTGCCCTATCCTCCGCCCTACGCGTCCAATCAGTGCACGCGGCCACCGCCTCCCGCACATTCACGGACCCCAGAACCGCGCCCATCTCCACGTCCTATCGTAGAGGCCAACCCCACTTCGCCCTGCCAACTACAGCCCCTCGATTTAGGAATGGTGCGTGACGACCCCGAACGTTTATCACCAAGACGAAGAGGAGCAGCTGAACCCCCAGAGGTGGACGCTAAGCGACGACGGCTAGACGAATCGACGGCGCCAGAGCCACTAATAGCAGCGGCAGCCGGTGCCGGTCGAACTCCCCATGGATCCGAGCCTGCACCTCAAGCACCTGGTCCGCCCTGTGACGTTCGCGTACCTTCGGCCGATGGAAGTGTGGCTACACCTGAGCGTGCAGCTGGAGCCTCTCCAGCACCGCACCTAACACCAGCCGCGAGCCCAGCACCGGCGACACCGGTGCCGCCGGTTGCTGCCTCGCCGCCGACTGCGGCTGCTCCTCCAACGGCACCTACCCCTCCAGCACCACCTGCCACTCCACCTGTAACACCGGGAGCAGAGGGGGACACACCCGCAAAAACAGCCGCGTCACCTCGTGACTCTGGCGGCGCACCTGTGCGACATCTTGGTAAGAAAGCCTGGCTGCAACGGCATGAGACCGCTCCCATCGGAGAGGGTGACTGCTCCGGTGGAGGCGGCACGTGTATAACGCTTCCTATGACGATAAACCGAGCTTCGGAGCAGGATGACTCGAGTTCGAATATAGTCGTGCCGGTGGCAGCCAAGTCCATACAACGCGGAACACGCAAGACTTCAAAACCACGGAAACCCAAGGAGCCGAACGGTCGCGCTGAAGATGCAGAGGAGGACAGCTCCAGTTCAGATCGAGAGTCAGCCGCGCCACCTAAACGCAAGCCACCTAAGGCGAAGCGGAAAAAAGGAGTGGTCCCCCGAAAAGCCAGCGACGAACCGAAACGAAAAAAGGCGTCCGAAAGCGGAAGCGAGAGTGACAAGGAGAGTGATGATAAAGACTCTGATTCGGGCGGTAGCGGCAGTGGAAGCGGTAGCACTTCGAGCCGACGCGGTGGCGCAGGGCGAGCTCGTGGTCGCCGAGCGCGAGGTGGAGGCCGCGGCGGCCGGCGGCGGGACGAGCCGCCGCGCCGCACGCCTCAGTCCTCGTCTACGTCCCGGCCTGCACCCGACTCCTTTCTGCAGAACGGGCCGTGCTTCGAGGTCGCGCCGCGCCTCGCTAAATGCCGCGAGTGCCGCTGGTCACCTGCTCAACGCGACAAAGATATGCCAAACATATTTTGTCGTTTCTATGCTTTCCGAAGACTGAAGTACGCCAAAAATCGGCAGCTGGCTATAGCCGGCTTCTCGGACCCCTACAAGGATGCTGAAGAGGTGTGTAAATTTTTTATAGCGTATAGGTATACCTGTGTCCACCTCGATGACTCCATTCACTTCAAGTATTTAATATTTAAATTGTTTTTCTTCACAGGATGATAAAAAACTTTGGCTATCGTCATCCGCAGGGGCGGCCGAACTAGACATTGAAATGAGTTGCTTCCTCTTGAAGGAAATTGGAGACCAGTTCTGTGAACTGTTACAACAGGAGAAGGAGGCTGAATTCCATCATTTGAACGATGGTAACTGTCTCTATATTTAAATATGCACATGTGTATATCAAAAAATATTTTTAATGAATATGTGAAATTTAATGTAAACATTTATTTTACAGATAAAACAATAGCATGGAAAAGAGTAGTGCAAGGCGTGAGAGAAATGTGTGATGTCTGTGAGACTACTCTATTCAATTTCCACTGGACGTGTGGAAAGTGTGGCTTTGTCGTATGCTTAGATTGTTATAAGGTAAATATTTCAATGTAATATAATAGCCAGTTCATTCATTAGTGTCAAATAGAAATGGCTTAAAAGTTTACCTTACGAGTTTATCTTTACTGTTACTTAACATTTTTCATTTCATTTTAGTCCCGGACATCCGGTGAGTCCAGTCAATCATCAACACCAGAAACGAACAACTCGTCTAACTCCAACACGACTAACAGCGAAAGAGATTCATTCGGGTGAGTACATCGAGTGGTTTGAGTTATTATGAAAAAAGTAATGAAAGGTTTCTTTCATCCTTAGAAGTTTTACTTCATCCAGAACTGATCATATTTCCGTGAATATAAATCAGATTCAACTACGATATTGTAGTTATTACGGTATTATAGTAGACTCGCTGTGATTTTAATAAGCTCGAATTTAAGAATCGCTTCACTAGTCTCTGCTCTATTTTTCTTTCAAAACATAAATGAACGGTCGCGTCCCGCAGATGGCTGACGTGTACGATGGGAGGCGCTCACCCGGCGCGGCGCCTGTTGCTGACGCAGATCGCGGCGGGCGGCGCGCTGGCGGCGGCCGCGGCGCGCGCGCACGCGCTGCGCTCGGCCTTCGCGCTGCCGCCCTGCGCATGCGGCGCCGCGCCCGCGCCCGCGCCGCACGCGCGAGCCGCCGCGCGCCGCCTGCTGCACCGCGCGCTGCAAAAGGTACGCTCACACTGAACACTCGACACCGTTCACCATTTACAGTATCGGTTCTCCCAGACATATCATTCCTCCGACCGACATTACTTTTTACTTAACCGCCGAATTCGATTATTTCGTCTCCTACGTCATTAATCCTAAAACCGCTTTATGCTAAGTCGTTTAATTACCGTTTACGACCACTTCGTGCATTGTATTTTACGGCTCATGCGCCTTGGCATCTTTTGAAAGAAAATAATACCCTTCTCGTTATGCTTCACGGGAAATGTTTTTTACGATCTACTATAACGTTTATCCCTTTGCAGAATATCAAGAAGGAGGACGTTAAAGAGGAGGTCGCCGCGACGAACGGTTCGTCACCGGTCAAATCGGAGAACGGCAAGAGTAGTCCCGTTGTCAGTTGGCTCTCGGATATGCCCCTCAAGACGCAAGCTGACGATGAGAAATCGGAATCGAGCTCGTCAGACTCTGAAGAAGAAGGAAACTTCTCGACGTTGCGGGAGTTGCTCATCCGGCCGGCTCCCGAGGGTGCCGAAACGCAACCTAAGAAAAAACAGAAAAAGAGTAGAGGCGACATTCTCGATGATGTAATTTCGAGTGTCGTCAAGGAGAAAAAAGATGAGGACGGTGAAGTCAAACCGTTTGCACTCTCGAATGTCGTTAAGCGATATGAGCGTAGTGGGCGTGGACGAGAGGAGCTTCCTATACGTATAATGACACTAACAGAGTCCAAGTTGTTGTATCCTGATGTGCCGCACGCTTGGCTCTGCGATGGCAAGCTGCTACACCTCACTGACCCCATGCATCCTGGAAATTATAAACCCTTCCAGGTAATAATTAATTCTGAGTATACATTAGTTGTAAAAATTGCATCTTTATTGTTTTCGAAGTTGTATTCACGCACCTATGATGTCTCTTATTTTTTATCTTTTATTGTTTACAGGACCAGTGGAAACGTGGTCAACCGGTTCTAGTCTCAGACGTATCGACGATCCTCGATAAGGATTTATGGAGCCCCGAAAGTTTCTCTCGAGATTTCGGCGACACACGAGTGGACTTAGTCAACTGTGCGTCCGGTTTAGTCGTACCGTGCCAACTGGGTAAAAAGTTCTGGGACGGATTCGACCTGGCGGCGAAGCGACTGAGAGACGAGCGCGGCGCTCCGATGGTGCTCAAACTGAAAGATTGGCCCCCGGGCGAGGACTTCGCGGAACTTCTCCCCGCGCGCTTCGACGATCTCATGCGCGCTCTGCCCCTCGGCGAGTACACGTCCCGCCACGGGAAGCTGAATCTTGCCGCTCGGCTCCCCGAGTGCTTCGTGCGGCCCGACCTGGGCCCCAAGATGTACACCGCGTACGGCGGGGCCGGCGGCACCACCAACCTGCACCTGGACGTGAGCGACGCCGTCAACGTGATGGTGCACGCCAGCGCGCCGGCCGACGCGCCCGAGCGCGCGCGGGAGGCGGCGCGCGCGGCCGAGGAGGCGGGCGTCGACGTGCTGTCGCGGCGCAGGGCTCGCCAGAAGCCGCCGGCTGCCCTCTGGCACATCTACGCCGCCAAGGACGCGGACAAGATCCGGGACTTCTTGGTGCGAGCGGAGTTGGAACGCGGCGCTAGGCCGCGGCCGCAGCACGACCCGGTGCACGACCAGACTTGGTATCTGGACGCGGCGCTGCGCGAGCGGCTGTACCGGGAGTACGGTGTGGAGGGGTACCCGATCCTGCAGTGCCCCGGCGATGCCGTCTTCATTCCGGCCGGGGCCCCGCATCAGGTCCGGAACCTGCTGGACTGCATCAAGGTCGCCGAGGACTTCGTCTCGCCCGAGAACGTTTCGCGGTGTTTCGAGCTCGCTCAGCAGTTCAGGAGACTGTCCCGGCAGCACTCGAACAAGGAGGACAAGCTACAGATTAAGAATATCGTGTATCACGCGGTAAAGGATTCTCTGTGCTGCCTCGAGGAGGCGCTCGCCGAAGAAAAGTGAAGTCGAGTGGCCCTCTCGCATTTGATCTCAACCTCGAACGTAACATTAATTGCTAAGTTCCGCATTTAACGTAAGATTGGGAGCGAGTATGATACGCGCTGTGCGCCGTTTCGTGTATAAAGATGCCATTGTTAAGCGTCCGAGTCGATTGTATACCAGTTATGTGTGTAAGTGTACTCGAAATGTGATTTAGTCCGACGGTCGCGATCGGAGTATGTGCAATGTAAATTAGTCTGATTATGGTGATATCGTCGAGATGTGGATATGTTTTATGTTCCTTAATTGAAATACAAATAAAACTCTTCAGGTTATTTACAGCTTAATTGTAGCTATAGTGATATGTATGTATTGTGTAAATTTTAATTCGAATTCCATCGAGTACATATTAAGAATTGTATACTTTTAAGTTATTGAATTGAAGTAAAACAAACGTATTCGCTCGAAGCATTGTACATTACAACACGGCATGTAGATAAGTTTATCCTATTTCTAGATTTCTCAATTTGGTTATGTTACAAAACGATAGTTTAAATATGTGACAATTTATTTTTGTCCTTATTGCTGTACTAGGAAGTTTTTTTGTACTGTGTATATTATGTATGGTTATAAGTTGGAATAAAAAAAGATGTTTATATGAAAAAGTGGTTTTAGTTATATAACTTATTTCAGGACAAGAATCCACAAACTGTTAATTTTACACAAAAGCGAGGGCAAGTATATAGTCCTATACCTACATAGAACTAGCCTGTCTAGGTTAAAATTGAAATTGGCACCTGCATAAATAACTAAAACACTTGTAATATAATAATAATAAAACATATATCTACGTAATATTTTAATTATAATTGGTTGAGTTACATCTTTGTCCAAAATCGATGATATCAGGGACCAGAATTAAAATCCACAGTAAAATTTTGTCGGTAAGGCTTAAAAAGCTCGAGGAACTTTTTTGAAGATAGAATCGGATCTGTCGATACCAAAGCACCACAGCGGACCATACCGGGATGTTGAACTCAACATTTTAATACTAATGCTTGTCTTTTTTAATGACTGGCATACTGCTCTAATAATCAAAAACAATATTTTTTAATCTGTGAACTATCAATCATCTTTGGTAATTATTTTTTTTGCTAACAGAAAGCGTCTGCGCGTGTTTATAAGCACGTGTAAATAAAAGCCAAGTGTCGAACGACATTTTGTTTTTAATTAAATAATTCGAAATGCGTGAGTTTTAAACACAATAAATCGACCCACCAAATAAAAAAAAAGAGTGTTTGGAAATGTAGGTATAAAACAGCCCATCTAGAAAAACTATCTGTATGAAACGTATACTAGCGCCACCTGTTACAAAAAAGACAAACCAGTTGCAATATTTTGGGTAACGCCGTTATACTACTCGCTAATAGATGTCGCTATAACAGAATTAAAATTAGGGTCACAACTGTAAAAAAATATTTATGATTCACAGAAAATCTTTGTACTATAATTCAATACATATATTGTGTAAATATTTATTTTAGTTTGAAGAACCTTTAAGCCGTAGTAATGTATTTCTTTATCAAAGAGACATCTTTGATGTTCCGTTGTAAAATTAAAGTACCAAAATGTTAAACTATAAAACTAGATGGCTAGCTGCTGCTTAAAAATTTTAAACCGATAATATAATATTTCAACTCACCTAGAAGGTGTGTTAAGTCTTTACGTGGTTGTTTTTTTACCCGATTTCCCTTTTTATCTGTCTTTTGAAATAATATTATTTGAAATCGTCTTTTATGAAGACTGTAAAGTCATAGATCAAGTCATAGTCACACACACGATAGCAACTATCTATTTTGTCACACCTTAAATCTCTTAAAAGACATATTTAGCAATTTAACTCGTTGTGGCGGACTTTGATGCCAAACTAGTCACCGATTAGTGGCAAATGGGGCTATTTGGATTTTTACGACGAAACTCTACGAAAATGTCCCGAGGGTGATAAAACCTTATTAAAGAGCTATAGATATTTCTCCTTGAGGAGTCATGTTAAAAAGCTATTTCGAGGGATATCATAAAACTAGATAAACCGAACAAGCTAGGCTACAAAAAGGCTTCAATGCCTAAGTATAACTTGAAAAGCGCCTAGATGTGGTTTCCCTATTTAGGAGGTAAGTTATATAGACAAACGAAGAGTATGACTTACCATTAGATTGTTGTGATGCTGAATTAATTACACAACAGGCTGTAAGTCTTGTGATGTTCGCATATCAACATCGTCACTAAATTAACCTGAAGTTAGTTTACTAACGATGTCGTAAAGCAAAACGCCGACAACCGTACTGAGATTTTATCGCCGGTGAACCTAACTGAGCAACGAAAAGGCTTTAAAATGAACATGGACATGACAAAGGTTATTCCAAATACATAACGTAACATAACATGGGTACATACGGAAGGTCACCACCCCTAATCATCCCGTGGGTGTCGTAAGAGCCGACTAAGGGAGCAAACTACGCAGGACAACAGCACTGCAAAGAGAAGGAAAACTTGAAACGAACCCTATATCACCACGGCTGGCCAGCGTGGTATAGTAGACCAAAACCTCCTTTCTGAGGAGAGACCTATGTCCAGCAGTGGACTGTTATAGGCTGTTGATGATGATTGATGATGTTATACTTTGTACTGTTACAAAAATTGATTACTATGACGAAAACACAGTTCTTTCGTGTAATAGACGTGACTTTTGCACGATAGTCCCACTAGGTAGTTCAAATTTTGAGAAAGACATCGCTCGTCGAACAACTAGCGTTTGGGAAACTTTACAATGTCTTTACAACTAAATACCTTAATGCCTTAAGCAAAAGAGCTTCGACGAGTGACCATTGAGGACCTTCGAATCCAAACAAGCTGAAACTCACTGTTGAGAATGTTACTGATAGGGCTAGGGGTTTCTTTATGGGATGAAATCAGAAATAGAATCAATAAATCGAAGTCGTAGTAGGCAGGGTACATGACGCTCACAACAGATGGCTTATAAATTCGTGATGATGAATTTGCCAAGTCTAATTTGGTTCACTCGTGTAATCTAGGGGCAAGCGTATCTGAAACTTAAGGTTATTGTAAGAGAATTGGAAGTATATTAAAAGATCTACGAAAAAGGAGGCAGTGTAAAGAAGGATAATAAGTAACCCAGTTCTACGCATTAAAAATCGATTCCAGTATATGCACTAGAAGCACGAGATTCCTGCACTGCACTGAACTGCAGGAAATTACGGCGGCATGTTCAAAAGCCCGTCGCGTTTAAAGGAAATTATTCCGCAATGACTTTTAGATCGGCCTGCACAGCATTGAGTGGTTGGATGATGGTACAGTACAACTCAAAGTATTTCACGCTAACATAAATAAGATAAAAAGCTTCAAACCAGTAACAAAGAAAATAATAGTAAACTATCCACGTCAAACAATGAACTCGCTAAATCAGGTGTGCTTATACATAGTCACGAAGAGTTTTATAAAACGTGCTTCAATACCGCTTTTATCTCGAGTGGTAATATTTGGACCTAAATGAACAAGTAATGTATACTCAAAAATAAAAATTAGATAAATCATCGTCATTTGCGAGCTGCCCACTAGGTGTTATAAAGAGAATTGGTCCGACATCTCTGTTGGCAGTTCACGGTTAGAGCTCAGAGTGAACAGGTTTGTGATAAAAAAATAATAATGAAGGCTACTACTTTGTTTGTTTTTGGTAAGTTTTATTTCATAAATTTTGAGTTTTACAAGCTAGACAAGCACAGCTAGACTTTTACAAACTACAACTTTGCTGTTTGCTATTTAATTTCATTACGGTCTCGATATGGCGTTGATATAATGCATATTTCTAACAAAGGATCTAGATTAACCAAATTGCAGAGTTCAATGTTTTTCTTTTTAATAACGGGTTTTCGTGCCATTGTAACGAAGGTTTTAAAGTCTGATTCATTTATCCTAATTATTTAAGAGAGAAGTTATGTGTATATTTAAATACCGGGTTTCTCTGCTTATTCAATTCTTGTGCAGTAGGTGTCTCTTTTCTTCTTAGTGTTTTTGTAAAGGATATTATGAAAATACTATAAGAGCTTAAAAATAATTTTATGATACTATTTCTTGTATTCTCTCTATTCCGTGTGGTGACGGATTAAGAATACAGAGTGTCACTACCCTTATTCATCCCGTGGGTGTCGTAAGACCGACTAAGAGAAAAAACTACGCAGAACAACAGCACTGCAGAGAGAAGGAAAACTTGACACCATCCCTATACCAACCCGTCTGGCCGGCATGGTATAGTAGGCCAAAACCTCCTTTCTAAGGAGAGGCTTATGTCCAACAGTGGACTGTTAAAGGCTGTTGATGTGATTTCTTGTATTGAATTTTTGAGACCACATAAAGATAGTGAAGATATGAGAAACTTCTCTGTAATATGCTTTAAAATGTATTTAATGACATCATAACTGGCAATAATAGGTGTAAAGTGGATCCTTTTTCCTGTTGTTACATAAACGAGCAGGTTATGACCTTAATGCTATTTGTTAAGGTTAGAGGAACCTCGTAGTGAACACTCGCGTAGGTTCTGTAGTCTTGATTACATGATGAGCACTTAAATGCTTCCGTTCGTTAAGGAGTGATATGAGACGGGTTTTGAATGTGCAATTTTACGATTATGCTTGTACGAGTATCTGTGACCTTTATGTCATGTCACTATATCTGTCTTAAACTGTTTTTAATAAGGCAGATAAATAAATAATAATATGTAAGCTAAGGAAAGTTCCATTCGTGATGATATTTATAAAATACGTTCTGTTAATATTGTTTTCATTATTAAAAAGGGTTTTTTTCGTGTTCCATTATTATCATAGTTGCAGAAATCGATTATTCTCTAGTTAAGTAGTAGAAGAAGGTTAAAAGATGCAAAAAAACACTACCTCTAAGTTTGGCAGTGTTTTTTTCAACATATTTTCACCTACACAAGGATATTTTAAATTTTTGTGAGAAGAAGTAGTGATTAATATTTAAACTGTCAATTCTACTTCCCAGCCGATTTCGGCTATGGCTATGGGACTGCTGCTAATTATTAGCAAAGGAGCTAAGAAGATCAGCTCTCGCATGTACCCTATGATGGTTACAATATCTAATCCTGTGAGAAAACGTGCACGAGCATTGGTTGCACTTTAGGACACCGCCGCCAGACCCGCTAACGGGCCAGATACCACAGACGACTCGGGCGCCGGAGGTCACAGAACGACTTCCGTACTCCATAAGCGCAGGCCTGGGGGTGACAGGTGAGGTTATCTGTCACCCTAGCAGAAGTAGGCCGGGGTGGCAGCAAGACGCGTTGCGGTGCGTGCGTGCCCTTTTGGGAGCACCAAGGGAACATGGGGGTTACCACACAGGAGATGGTCATCTGCCCGCCGTAGATGCCCTGAGGTACGTCGGGGTACCAGGGCTTTCTTTTCTAGGGTACACCTGGTTCCCGGCTACTGGTACCCGAGACGGCGTGCGGTTTTCAGTCGGTTCGAGTCCGACATAGCCACCGGTAGGTGGTATCCGAGGGGATTTCCGCACAGAAAGAAAAATAAAAAAAAGGTGTACATTATTTGCCACGCTTTCTGGTGAAGAGTGTAACAATATATTTTTACGTTAGTGTTCAAATATTGTTTCTATTATGTGACCATAACACATAAAAAGTTTATAAATATTCCTAATTAATATAATAAGGTTATATATTAACTAAATAGTCATAAGGAACAGAGTTTTATTTATCGGGATAGGTTGAAATTTTATAGAATAAAATACACACATGAGATACATCCAGCACGAATATAAATAAACACGAAAACCGAGATTTACACATGAGGACGTGAGTGAAAACTACTCGTAGTAATTAGTAAAATGCACAAACTCAAATATTTTGTCTGAGTTTGTGCATTTTGTGTCATACCTTTTTTCTAGGAGGTATTATACTTGTTTTAAGAAGTTGTCTACTTATTTTCCAGCACTAGTGATAGTGGCAGTGTCATGTCGTCCTGACAAGCCAGACTTGCAGCAGATAAAGGCAGAGCAAGCACGTAAGAAGGCTTGCATGCACGACTGTGCCTCCGTGGCGATAGACCCCGTATGCGCAGGCAAGCAAGGCGAGAAACCCAAGTCCTTTGGCAATGAATGCGTTATGAACAACTACAATTGTGAACATAAAGATAGTAAGTGTACCTAAAACTTTGAATTCTTAGATTTCTTGTTCTTTTAAAAGCTTACTCATGTCGATTAACGGCGAAGGAGCCAACCTCAGAATATAAACGTAACAAAAATGTGTTTTTAGATACCAAAAATAAAAACATTCCAATTAGAGAATTCTAGAAGTTTTCAAGATTACTATATACTATAAGACTTTTTAGAAAAAGACATAACAGCAAAATATAATAACAATTTGTAGGATCCTGGAATGTAATTCAGGATCTTACAGGATAATAAATCTGTCTCACATTTAAGAGCAAGAAAAAATGACTCATGAGGCTTACAACAGAATAAGAACATCTAAAAATAATATGTTACTTCATATAGAACTTAATGCCACTGTTTTAGGCAACAAAAATTAAGTAACTTGTACACGTTTCCTAAGTGAATATAATAGCGGTAACTAGTACTAATTCAAGGTGACCGCAAAAAAGTGGAATGGAAATAGAACAATTCTTAGCATTGTTTTCCTTATGATGATATTACAGAGATATGTTACCTAAGTATTTACTGTATGATAACTTCGTCTTAATCACAATATAATAAAAACACTTTAGAATATTATATTATTCAGTTAACTGATAGACTTAGTCATTTACAGCTGGTTAGAAAGATATCTAAAGGGACAATTGAAGTATTAACCTAAGGCCTAATTATTAAGAAGCTTAAATTAATCATAGCTTATATAGTCTTGATGTGAAATAACGTTACGGTTGATTGTTTTTGTTAACATTAGTTGCTGTTGATGCTTTAGGTAGATGCCAAAAAGATTACTACACTATTTTAAAATTTAGAGGATTTACAAGAGAAACTAAAGCTTCACTACAAACATGACAGAACTTACACTGTAATATTCAAATAACTTAAAATGTTTTACTGATTATGATCACGTAAAAGTGTCGAGTCTTTAGATCCCCAAAGTTAGCTTACAGCAAACAACAATTACAGCTTACAGCTTACAGCAAGCAAACAACGTAAATAAAATACTAATACTACATATTAGTATTTTATTTACGTAGGAATCATTGTGAGTCCTTTAAAAATGCCAATTTGACAAAGAATTTCAGATAACTCCTTAAATCAGTGATAGCTGCTTGGGTTGGTGTAATGTTGACTGTTGACTTGGCTAGAAAATCTATACTTTGATATTGTGATCTTTAGCTCCTTTTTTTAGGTTTTGATCTTTATGCCGCATAGCGAAGAAGCAAAAAAAACTTTTTTAAAATGTCGAAACGGTTTTCTGTCAACTTTCTATAGCGACTGTAACTATTGGGCATAAATAGTTACCTTCCGCATAAATTTGTCAAAAAAGATTCTGGAAAACTCGATGAACACAATTGTATTGTGTAAAAACCCAATTATTCTCACCACGGTAAGCCAGATTTGCAACTAGTCGAATTATAAAACTTCTGTGCGTGCGCAGCAGGGTGTGTCGACTGATGTAACCGATAACATTGGACTCCATTGTGGTACATTGCGATGGCCGGTTACTGACTCATGTTAGTATAAATGTAAAAAAAATATTATTGGCAATACGAGTATATGACCAACAAATACTACATCGAATACACTGGATTGAAAAATGACCAGTTTATTTTAAAATGTGTATTTTTTTATCTCGAAAAGCAATTACCGACTAAATTTTTTTCACGAACATCTACGAGTACAATGCATGTTGTCGCTTATAGTGACATATATATACCGTCGTCCGGTTAGTGTGGTGACGGATTAAGAATACGGAGTTTCACCACCTCTATTAATCCCGTAGGGATCGTAAGAGCCGACTACGGGAGCAAACTCTGCAGGATAACAGCACTGCAAAGAGAATGAAATCTTGAAACAAATGTTATACCCAAAATCTCCTCTCTAAAGAGAGATCAATGTCCAGAAATGGACTATTAAACGCTGTTGTTGATGATGATATACCGACAAAAGATGTATCTAAAATTAAATTAGATAAAGACTTTTTCGCGTGACTCGATTTTAAACACAAGCCAAACTCTTACACTCTGGCTTGTGTGTTTGAAATGTAAAAGCCAGATAATATTAAGGATGTTGCATGTAGTCGTCAGTACTGTTGTTAGTATTTTAAATGATAAAATTATTATGAGTAAAGACTAATAAGTATGATGAACGTGTTATTGATATATCCCCATAAACTTCGACTCGTGTGCGTTGCAGACAATGTTTAAGGATCCATTACATCACCTATCATTTGCTTTAGCCGTGTATGAAAACAATAGATCAGTATCCTATTTAAAAAATCTATAACTCTAAAAATTAAAGTTTTGGAGGTGTAAAAACGTTTAAGCGTAACTTGATCAATTAATCATATAAAAAAGTTTTCAGTTGACAGTTTGCATGTCTGCGCTTAATACGTCTCTGCATACCTCTTTGAGGATATAGGCGTGGACATATGTATATAGGTAATCTAATTGGCTGTAGTTTGAAAACCTTTTACATTCACAGACGGGTTCTTTGAGTTAAAATTATGTTTTTGGATTTTAAAATTAATGTCATTAGTAAATTCTAAATATAAATATTTTATGTAAATGACTCCCAATCAGTGGTGTCATCAAGCGAGGGTATCCACATCTGTCTAAGGCTAGTAACTTTCCGAAAAATCTATTTTGTTTTTTTCTGCAAATTGTTGTGTGACAGGTTTGATCGAGTGGCTTGTTAGAATGGAGCGAGGAGCATTGAACCCTGGACGAAGACTAATAGAAATGGATATAAATTATAACATTCGTTTTAAATTGGTTTGCAAAATGTTTCGGGGCGTTGAATAATAAGCTAAACGTGTTTAGGCAATATTGAACACGTTTTTATAGGTTTAAACATATGCTAATACACTCATGAATTCTAAATCGTTTTACATAGGTAAAATTGCATTTGATATACTGACCTAAGTGCATTTTGGCTGTAGTATTAGTATCTTAATAGGTTTAAACTACTAAAAACAATTCCAGAGAATATTGAGCTCTGATTCAGTACTCAGTACACTGAAGTCTTAGCAGTCAGTAATGTTTAAAAGCTCTTAGATTCATATACAGAACAAGAGAAGGAAAACTTTTAGTTTTTTTTTCATTTTAAACATTGGAACTTTAGTTTTTGACCGACTTCTAAGAAAAGGGGAAGTTCCAAACTAGACTCTATTTTTTTTTTGCATCTGGTGCCTGTCACTTATGAATCGATTTCGAAAATCCTTCCTTAACTTGATTTGGGTATTTGATATTGGTATTTCTTGTTTGATTCCATTTAAACTTCGAGAAAAAAATTATCTCCTAAATGAAAGATTAAGGAATGTAGAAAAAAGTTTATTAAAATTCACCGCGATGTAGGCCTATTTAAGTCGGTGATTTTGTTTTTAAAGTTTATTATTTTCGTGCTTGCATAAAGTAAGGTCCCGCCGGCAGGCAGGCAGGATGAGGTATGTTCCGTACCTATAGCTTACATGCGAGCCTCGGTTATAATCGCGGAATCCTTTACCAATAAATTCTTCATATTTAGCATAGATGTTTAAAGACTTCTTGTTTTTTCAGCCCTTCGCAAGATCAGCAAAGGCGAATGTGCTGGATCAGACGGCATCCGTCTGTCTTAAGTCTACCAGGAAACGTCACAAGCTTTCTGATAATCGTTAAACGCTGCATATGATTGCATTTTAAGTTGAATTATATTTTAGTATTCACTAATATCAAAGAAGCTGTGATTAATTTAGAGTTTGAGACTGGAGAGCTTTCTACGGTAAAATGAATATAACATTTAATTTTGTTTGTTGTCTTTATTTTATAATTTATAATCAATACATACGATAAATGTAAGATGAAACAAAATATATAACAAATTAATATAAATTACTATTCGTGGTTTTCGATTAAAATCGTTTTTTTTTTCATTAGTTCGGTCTCCTTGTCTAAGAGTTGTAGTGCTCCTGATTGTTGGTCTATAAAGCACAAGGCCAGCATGTAGGAATATGGTTCATACTGTCAGTTATCTCAATGAGTTTCATAGTGTCACAATGTCTTTGTTTGGTAGTAATAAAATCTGGAAATCAAGGCTGATTAGTGGGAATCTTTTTTTTTGTTTCTTACAATATATTAGCCAATGTGTTTTACTTCGCGAGTTTATTGATTGACAGAGAATTTAATTTTAATTTTGTTTGTATTCCCTTAAAATTAGTAATACAGTGAAAATAAAATAAAAAAATGTAGGAAAATATTATAAATAGTACAGGAATCGAGTCTCGCCTTTTTTTTTTAAGAGAATCTTTAGGTAAGCCAATAGAGTGCTGGTTTATACTAATGAACTAAATAAGAAAATAATGCTACGTTGGCAACTCTGTGAGAAGACCAGCTTGAAATTAAGAAACTGCGTCGTTTGCTGTGCCCTAGATTGCCGATAGCTGCCCGACATTCATAAACCTTACATTATCTCGCGTCTCACATATTCGGAGTTGGTCGGGTACAAAATAGGAACTTTTACGACATTAGTCAAAAATGGTTTATTTGTTTTAAGTATACCCTATGTACACTTAATCCTTGTTGTATTAAGAATGGGTACTCTACATAAAGACGAAAAACTTTATTCCGCCAGTCACAAATACGAATTTCAAAATACCGATTTTCATAATTCTGAATAGTTCTAAATTTCTAATAAAACAACCCCGATTGATCATTCATCCTATTTTTATAATTCAAAAGTTGCAATATTCCTAACGTTTATAATTACTATGTTCAAAATACACACAAAATACCGTGTTAAAATTTCGTGAACTTTAATAATAGGCATTATAATTCTTAGGTATTATTCGGACTTTTAAAAATCGGAACATCGAAATTCGGAATAAAATATTTTGGAGTATCAGGGTGTTCCCATTAATAATACGGAGTTTCACCAGCCCTATTCATCCCGTACCGACTAAGGGAGCAAACTACACAAGAAAATAGCACTGCAAAGATAAGGAAAACTTGAAATAGACCCTTTAACAACCCGCCTGGCCAGCGTGGTATAGTAGACCTATGTCCAGCAGCGGACTAATAAAGGTTGTAGATGATGAAGTATAAACACCCTGAATTAAGCTAAATAATGATTTGTCTATCGTGTATAAATTATGCCCATTTCCCTTAAAACTCACACTCGTAAAAACTTTCCCATGATAGGTTAAAATTCGTCCATTGACGTATTGCTGACCCAGTTTTCAGTAACTCGATAATATTATTCAACTTGTCTTGAGCTGGATAAAATTATTCCGTGGCTTCTAGACGGTTAAAACTTACTTTGTCAATTGGGTGTTTGCTTAACGCGTCTATAAACTTGGTATGTTCACCGGGTCCTGTAACAGTTACAGCGGTACATCTACCTGGGCCTTGATCACTATGCGATAACTAGTACTGAGAATTGCATACATTGTACCATAGAATAACTGATAGTCTTATGACTTCAGATGCTATCTGGTTTAAACAAAAATTCCATAACTGCATGTCTTGACACACTTGACCGCGAGAAACGTGCCAATTGCTGTAAACATCAGGGCATCAGGGCAAAATGATATCACTTGCCCTGATGTCATATGTTTATCGATTAGAAACTGGATTATCTATGTTTACTTTACACATGACATTGCCTAGATCGGATGTCAGGTCGCCCGTTGTGACCTATTTCCATGTCATAGACAGCTTGACGCCTGATAATGTACTGTTTAGGAGTTATAATAACTTTTATCTCGTTTGTGTAGTGTACCGACTCAATAACAGTACGCCTACTTGTGGTCCTAATAAGGTGAATGTTAAACGTATTATAGCTTGATTTATTAAAGTAAGCCGCGGTCTAATCAAATTAATTTCAAAACAGAGAAAAAAAGGCAGCAGTATCGTAATAAATATTGAAAAGTTGAAATTAAACCTGGCAAAATAAGGTGCTGATATCGGTTTTTGGTTTCGGTTCGGTTTCGGATTTCCAATTTATAAAAGATAGGTGTTTTAATGGTAGCAGCCTTACGTACAGCGCTGCCGCAGCGTCGAAAGGATATTTTAGTCTACTATACCTATGATGTTAAAGTGTACAAGTTAAATTAAATGAAGATAGCTAAATAAATGGACTTAAGTAATGAAACAAGTTATCGTCTGACGTATTTCCGGACCGATACGACCTTCAAACCTTCAAGAAAAGAGCGTACAACTCCCTAAAAGGCCGGCAACGCGTTTGTGACTCCTGAGTTACTGAGTCACTTTCCATCAAGAGACCCGTCCACTCGTCTGCCCCCTCTTACATAAAAAAACTTTAATGTTTTTAGGTATGCATAACATTATTGTTAGTGTCAACTGAGTACTGTTGTGTTGGAGTCCAGTTCAGTGGTCATTTTTGAAATCAATTATTACTATATTGAAGCTGTTGCCAGAGGAATATTTATTACGTAAATAATATTATGATTACAATTATTGGAATATAAAGACAAATGCGTATATGTGTGCTGCACAAATTATACTCAGCAATATGTATATTATCAGTCTCTCACGTTATAAAGTTTATAGGTAGGTTCACTGTTGATGGGCGTATTTAACTATGAACATAATGTATGTACCTATGTATTGTAACGTAACTAGATCACAGGACATTGATGTTAGGTAATACTTTCATTGGTTTACACAGAGTGGGTACGGTTACCAGGATGCTGTTTTACAAAAAAAAAAATATAGAGGACTTTTCTAAAGCTACTCATCATCATCATCATCATCAAGAGCCTATGGGCCCTATGGGCCTCTCCTTAGAAAGGAGGTTTTTGGCCTACTATACCAAGCTGGCCAGACGGGTTGGTACAGGGTCTAAAGCTCACCTTGTTTATAAAGCACAAGCGAGCCCTCTTTTACCTTTCGATGCAGAGAAATTGGTACTCATTCGCTGTAATGTACTGTTAACATAGGGAACTACTGACTATTAATTTTGGTGCAAATTTAAATATGATGATTATGCTAAAAGTAATAATAATAAAATAAATAAATTTATAATATATATGGATGGTTTGAAACTACTAGCCCCTACTAAATTACAATTGACAGCGTTACTAAAGGTGACGGAAAACTTTAATAATTCTATCAAGATGGAATTTAGTGTAGACAAGTGTGCAGTCATGTATGTAAAGAAGGGCGTGATAGTAGAATCTGAAGTAATAGAGCTTTCAGGTTCAACAAAACTCAGATCTCTGTCAGCCACTGAAACTTACAAATATCTAGGTATATCCCAGTCGTTGGCAATACCAGAATCTGACATGACACAAACGTTGCCGTAAGTAGTATAAAAAGTCTACTTTTTTCATATTTTTAAATGTTTTTTTTTCTTTTGTAATATTAAAAAAAATGTAATCAATATGTTTATATAATCTAATAAAGAGAATAATAAAATTGTTATATCCAATTAAACATGCAAATTAGTTAAGCAGTAGTAGAGTAAGTAACAAGAGAGGGTTGATCATGACACTTACGACTCACCCCATAACCACACCTTTTCTTTTGTTCAGTTATTGGTATTCTGCAATTTCTTTTATGTTATAAGTGGAGGGGGAATGGGAGGAGGGTGGCCGTGTGGTGACGGATTAAGAATACGGAGTGTCACCACCGGTATTCATCCCGTGGGTGTCGTAAGAACCGACTAAGGGAGTAAACCACGCAGGACAACAACACTGCAAAGAGAAGGAAAAATTGACACAAACCCTATACCAACCTGTCTGGCCAGCGGGGTATAGTAGGCCAAAGCCTCCTCTCTAAGGAGAGGCCTATGTCCAGCAGTGGACCATTATAGGCTGTTGATAATGATGATGATGGAGGGGGAGGGTGACACTTACGACTCACCCCACAACCACACCATTTCTTTAGTTCAGTTATAGGTATTCTGCAGAAAAAAATGTTATAAATGGAGGGGGGGACACGACTCACACCACAACCACACTTTGTTCAGTTATTTGTATTCTACAAAAAAAATCTAATTAGTGGAGTGGGGGAGGGGATGAGCAAATAGATCATATCAGATGGTGACTATCACCGACCATGGACACCTACAGACATGAGACATAGGAGCGGTAACGCTCTTTGAGTGCTCCCCTTAGAATTAGGTGAGGGGGAGGTGGATGTAAGAAAAAGAACAATCATTTTGTGTAATGAACTTTATTGAATCAATAATAATGTCTATTACGATGACAATGCTGCGCGTGCAATGTTCGTAAGCCTTACTCTGCACATTACCACAGTTCGTACTTTGTACAATAAATAAAAATACCAACTTATATAATAATCTTAAATCTAGTGCCATTACTAAACTGTATTTGAACATGACTTTGGCGTTAATTTTATCTCTATATAAAAACTACTATCTTAATAACAAATAAATTTTGAATTTTAGGAACTTTTGACCAAAGTCTTAGTTATAAAAATAGTTACTAAAAAGTAAACCCGATATAAACTTAAAATTACAGTACAGTTATAGTTAAACCGCCGTAAGCTTGGCCCTCCTGATGGTTTGCGGGACGCGGGGCGGGTGATGCGCTCGGCTAGACATGACACGATGTACTAACTCGATATCTTCAGATTTATTTGTTTGAGATTTGTACACACTACACACGATGTAAAAAAATCGAATTTATTTCCATGTATTATAAAGTCAGTGTATTGTAAGTTTTTATGATTAATTGTAAAATTTAATACTGTAAAATAATTTTAATAAAATCACCTTATCTTCATCATGTAAATTATATTCAGATACAATTTAAAAATTAAGTAAAATAATAAATATTCTTTATTAGAACTTTAACAGTAGAACCTCTGTAAGCCGAACTTCAAGTTTTTAAATCTTTTTGTGACGCAGAGTCGGCAGATTATCCATGTAGCAAAATAATACCGTGTGTAGCAGTCTTAAGAAAAATAACACGTACAGCCATGCTTTCACGTCAGTCACTGCCGGCGAACAGCGACGCACTAGCTAATTGGTTGAATGCACCCCCGCCCCGCGTCCCCCAAACCACCAGGAGGGCCAAGCTTACGGCGGTATAACTATAAGAGAGATCTCTTTTAAGCGGTATTTTGTGTTTTATAAAAAAAATGCCATTTAACAAAAACCCTTGTCCTTGTTTGTAATGGTTAGCTTCTTATATCACTAATATATTAATCTGACCGCTGAGCAATCTTCCAGAATATTGAGTAACAAAAAATTGAGAAGAAAAAAACGCAAAATACCGCTCGAAAAGGAATAATAGATGTGGCAGACAGCCGGCGAAGGAGGCCAGCGACACGTCTGAAAACTAACTAGCGGATTGGACTGATGAAATCCTCCCACACGCCGTTATGACACTATGACAAAAATTTAATTGCCTTGGAACCCGCAACAAAATTAATGAGAAGAAATTTGGTGGAGTCTGAATTGTAATAAAGCCACTTCCCTCTTTAGCAAAGGGCTAGATAAAATGAAATAAAAATAGTCAAACACCCCGTTTAAACAGGGAAGCAACGTACTAGTAGACAAAGAAAATGTCATATGACACTCAACGCTGATACATTAATCCGCTCCTCGGATGGCCGATGTCAGCTGTCGGCCTTAATCTTAAGGACTTTTAAGTCAACAACGAGCTTGTACTCGTTATATGAGTTTTGTAGTATATGTATCCCCACTACGAATTTATTAATTCCACCATATAATTAGTGATGTCACGCCTGAAGAGAAAGGTGGCAAACCACTTCAATAAGATACTTTTGTATATAGCCATGTAAGTTCTTACATAATTCGCAACGAACACTTTGTTTCTTATTCCTATTGAAAAAAATATTTTCTGAATTTCATAAAATACAAAACTATTTAAGACTTTTATACTAAAAATATGAACAAAAATTAAGTTTTCATAGCATAAGCACACGCCCCAGTACTATGACTAAATTAAACAATGGCTATACAAAAACATAGTACATCAAAAATCAATATTCTACCACCACAAGTGCTACCAGATTACTATAGAAATAATTTTTTAGTAGTCACAAAGGATTAGAAGAATTCAGATCAACTTTTGTTGATGTATGAGAAACAACATAAAAATAACAAGTAACATAAATAATTTAACTAAACAAAATTACATGGTATTACATATTTTACACAATCTTTCTCCGAGCCTTATTTCCAAACTAGGTTGAGGTCGGCATTAAGGCGATTTTAAAAACATCTAAACAATATTTAACCATCTAGATTTCATTCAAATACCTATTTTGAGTACTAACTTAAACTTGCCGACGTAAACGGGAATTAACGTGATCACGTACATGACTGTGGTACAGGCAATTAAAATGTTTAAAATACCTATTAATCGCGTTAAATCTCGTTACTTTATATAATTTTTATGAGTTAGCAGGAGCATGATAATTAATATACATGCTGCAATCACGTTTTAAACTTATATGTAATAAAAACAAGGTTATTAGTTATTTTACCTTGTTTTCATTACATATAAGTGTCCTAGATATGAAAGGAGTTGACATTCAAACTTCAATTTATGTCTAAAGGCTTAGGTAGCAGTAATAGATTGACTTGTGCATGTAATAATTGGCAATAGCCAATTTTGGTGTTTTATACAGAATTATAAAAAATATTTTATAATTCTGTATCAAACACCAAAATTTCATTGTAATATACGACAGGACAGGCACATGTTCACTGATTTTTAAAATACTTAAATTACTAATTTTCGGTTCTATAATTTCCGTAGGATTACCGATTTTTTTTGCGAGGTTCTCTCAGTAAACCTAAGTTGTCTAGACCTCCAGGTTTGGAGGATATATTTACAAAGCACCTTTAAATGAAGTCTATTCTGGTCATCAAAAATGATGATTGTAGTTCTACTGTCTGCGCAATTGTAATAATGTATACATATAGATAAGTATATACAATATCTCTTTTTTACTGTTCTGATGAATAATATTTGTACACGAACAAAACTATTTAATGTATATGTGTGCGATCTTCATAATTATGTTTATACTTGACAGACGGTGATGTTCTGCTTTTTAATACATTTAGTTGAACATTGGATACCAATTAGCGTTGTGCTTACACTAATGCGGCAACTAATACACATATTTTGTTTCTGAAGATTATATCAGCATTCTCCTAGACTGGTCATCGCGTAATCTGAAAAAAAATTTTTTTTTGCATCAGATATGAATTGAAGCTTTCTAGACCAATCAAACATTATGATAAGACCTACAGAAACAGAGCAGTAATAATAATCAGATTTACGAATTGTAGGCAAGCAGGTATGTGAAGTTTGCTCTCCCTGCCTGCCTGCAAGCGCAAGTGCGACGTGGTTAGAACATCAAATGGAAACCTTCTAAAACCACATGGTTATGGTGGTATAAATGGTAATCAACTTACTCGTTATTTTTCACTCTTTAAAAATCATTAGCGCCTTCGTGCATAAGTCATACCTCATGCCTAAGAGATACTCGTACGTATATTTTATATTCTTTCTACGAAATTTATTGACTAAGCATCATACTTACACGTGCTCTCGCGACATGATACTGCTTCCAGCTCGCATATCGTAGCGAAGGTTCGCGCCGTACCCGCAGCATCGAATGCACATACTGGACCAACAGGCGGGGCTCTGCACCGCCCAGCGCAGAGGGGAGGTGGAACTCCTTCCCTCACTTTAGCTCTCATAATCACCGCTGGTGCCCGTATGTCGGTGTTCTCGCCTCCTTCATAGGGCTCGTATATGTCACCAAGGTGTGACGTCAGGAATGGTAGGCTCGCAGACTGTGATTCGTTCCACGCTGAAATGTTATGTGTTGTTTTAATATTTATATGTAAATTAAAAGTACTTGTTACTAAAATTCTATTCCTTGAGGCCTTGAAAGACTCCGAAAATACATATTTACGACCTACGACAATTAATTGATTTAAAACAGATACTACATTAATCGCAGTCAACGATAGCGGCAAAGTACTTCAAACAAGAATGAGACAATCTGCAAAATTAAAGCGTGATAAAATTTGACCTATCACTGACCGAAACCCAAATCTTCATCAAAACAATGCGACTGCACTGCTTCTAGTCTTGCCCAAGCTCTTTTGTGATAATAATGAAACGTTGACAATTAATGGGGGCATAAACGTAGCTTAATTGTTTCTCGTTTTATTCCATTATTGTTTCCAGTAGTTGTTCTTGATAATTGTTTGACATATGATATGACCCCTCAATCTAATCTCTTTTATTTATTTTCCTAAACTTTTCTCGTGATCTCATGCATATTACGCATTAGTTATGTCCTATCAGTTCAACCGCACTACGTAATTAATTGTTTGTCCTTTCTCATTGATTTACATAACAGTAAACATATTTGTTTACTCTAAATAGGTATGCTTCAATTGTCGTCAAATTCAATTAAAATATATTTTAAGTTCTATCGTTTTCGAGCTATTTCGCGTTTAGATTATCTGAAATTTTACCATGTACATAAAATATGTAGGAAGACTATTTAATATCGGCACTCATGAAGGAGGGTTTATCAACAATAGAACTGGGCCTCAATTCTGCTATTTTATGTTCACGCCAAGCCACTGTCATACCACTGACACGCTTTTGAGATGCCATCGAGTGGCCATTGGCATCGGTATAAATATCGGTAGTCTAGAATTGAGGCCCTGTTTAGTTGTTCATACTTTAAGAAGTAGTTATTAATATAAATAATAATAATATTCTACCACATTCACACAACAGCATCTAGTCCCAAACTAAGCAGAGCTTGTACTATGGGTACTAGACAACTGTACATATATACATTTTTTTTTGTAAATACATACAATATGTATGTATACATAGAAACATCCAGGCCGAATCAAACATTAAAAGTTCATGCACACAAATGTTTGACTTGAGCGGAAATCGAACCCGCAACCTTTAGCGGAGTGGTTTGTGTACGGACTGCTAAGTCCGTTACACAAACCACTCCGCCATCCGGTCGTCAAACATTGTCACGTGTCAAACGTTATTGCTACCCAAAAGCACATTTCGTTTTAACTAATACGGGTTCATACCCACATGGTGATGGATGAATTTGTGTGATTGTTAGACAATTTAAAGTTAAAAACAGTTAGACCTCTTACAACGAATAACTCAAGGTACAGGTTCAGCCAAAATAAATGACAACCATCTTGGTTTAAAGTCAAAGTTCAAAGACCACACTGGATCCTTGCATCAAGTTGCAGTCAACGAAGTCAAGACCGTCGATATGTATACTATATTTTGATCGCGGTTTCACTCAGTTCAATGTAGTTTTGTCTAGAAGTAAAATTAAAATTTATTATCGCTCAGGAACATTATTATTTTCTCTACGAAAGTTCAACTTTTGTCATTTCTTATACAACCAACAAGACATTCAACATTTCGTGATGATCGCTGAGCAGATAAGAAGAAACAAAAATAAACACAAAAAAACTGATGTTCGCATTGACAAAAATTACCATACATCCTATTTGTTTAAGTTTTAAATATTCGGCTGAGATTAAAACCTATTTGCACGTACTCGTATTTTATATTTCAACAGCCACAACTTCATACCGAAACAAAAAGAGAATGAAAAGTTATATAAAAACCGATTTAGAAGATTTTCTTTGGTGACCTTAAGCAGAGGAAACCTAAAACTAATGTTTCAGTCGTTCCTTTGATATCATAAGGATTTATTTTAAATACACTGTCATTTTATTTCTTAAAAAATAATTTGAACTCGAAACATGTTAGTTAATATTTTACAACTGATAAGAAGTTCTGTAGTAATACATTAAAATACGTTGATAACAACAATGTGTAGCGTAACCCTATTTTTTCTATTTATCAAATCACTCAAAGCGATCCGAACTTTTGTAGATAAAGGCCCTTGCATAACCGTAATAACTGCGCACTTCAACTGCGCAATGACCACGATGAAATAATTATTATAACTTTTTATCGTTTTGTGTCGGCCGGCTTCCAGAAAGGGTAACCGATCTACATACGACAACTTCCTCTAGTGACTCAATACAATGTCGCATATGTCATGCGTTAGTACTTAGTATTGCGATTAGCTCGTAATTTGAAGGTCTTTAGAGTTGAGTGTTGCCTAACATGAATCATTTGGGTTTTTAGCACTAGTTTAATTGGCTTTGTTCGCGGCTTTTATGTTTCTCATGTTGATTGTTATAGGAACTACAAACTCGAGCAAAACGTATGGATATCTGAATGGGTATTGGAAGTGGCTACCATATTAATTTCCAGAGATAAAACCGTTCCAGTTAAAACGCATTAAAAATTATGGTGTATAATATTGTTAACACTTCTAACGGTAAGTCGGACTCGAGGTAAGGTGTTAGTGAAATATAGCAAGGCGTGGCAAAAACCTCTTCGTTTAACGGTGAACTGTCAAAAGGTCGCTGGAATCTGTCGGCTTACTTATATTATGTCCTAGCAATTTTGTGACCGATTGATCTATGGTAAAGGAAAACTTGAAACCCTATACCAACCCGTCTGGCCAGCGTGGTATAGTAGGCCAATACCTCCTTTCTAAGAAGAGGCCTAAGTCCAGCACTGGCTTATTAAAGGCTGTTGATGTGATGATGTGATGAAAGTGCTTTTAAATTAGCTTAGATGGGTCGATCACAGAAACATATGCATAGAGAAGGGTATATTAAGAAGGTATATTAAGAATGGGTATTAGAAGGGTCTATTAGGTGGGAAGTCCAAACTATATACGAAGCCGATGCTAAAACTACAAGTCACCGACCGGCGTCGTTGTGTGTTTGTGTTATTTATGCAGGATTTTGCACATGATACACTTACTACGTACATGACCACTATAATTTTTTTACAATATTTCAAGGTTAAGCGAACTTAGCATATAAATAAAGTATTTACTGACAAATATTAAATTAAACTATTGAATAGAACACTGGTTGGTTATCAAAATAGACGCTATATACAGAAATGTGAGATACAAGAATTTGTGGCCCGGGTGAGAGGTAGTCCTTAGAAGTTCTTTATCAATTGTAGACAATTTCAATTCTGTAAAGTTCTGTAGATGGACCGATTCTGTAGGTGTATTATTTACTGCTTTTTGAATTTTGGCTAGTTTTCAGCGAATGCATTTAGTTTTGAAGTGTCGGTATATTTACTGCAATATATAATAACATAATAACTGCAATGAAATTTGGTCATAAAATTGGCAACGCATTAAGAATGTAAGCATTCTTAATCCTTCTCGATGCCTTCGTTTCTCTGATCGACCCATATAAGCTAATTTAAAAACACTACCATAGATCAATCGGTCACAAAACTGCTAGGACATAATATAAGCCGACAGATTCCAGCGACCTTTTGACAGTTCACCGTTAAACAAAGAGGTATTGAGAAGAATGTAAACATTCTTAATGAATTAGGAATAAATTGTCAATAATATAGGAATAAATTATGAATGAATTAATTAATAATGTCAACATCCTTAATTCCATTGTAAACAGTCCAGAGAGACAACTTACTTGTGGTAAACGGATTTATTATGAATGATGATGAAACCTTCCATTTAAGATAGATAGATAGATGATCATTGATTGTAAGTGCCTAGTGCATCTTAGGCTTATTTCTACTTATTTATTTCTCATTTTGCCCGCTTATTTGTACTTAAACATGACCTACTTCTTTTTTGTAGCGTTTTATTGACCGGTGCATGTTGCACCTGTTGCAAGTTCATAAACTTTGTACCTATAGTTCAAATAACCAACAGAAAACACAAATATCATTAATCAATATAAATAATAATAACAAATGTAATAATGTAAACAGTATTGGATATCGATACTTGTATAGTAGCACCGCACATGCTTACATAGATAACACTATCAAATGCACTTTACTTACACAACGATAATTTCATTTACATCACAACTTATCTATGTACCAATTATACAGTCTTACTTTTTACAGATCAATCAATGGCAGCCATGTATTCCTACGGTACCTCCCAAAATCATAAATTAAAAGTGTCCACAGAAATCACGATTTGTAATGAACCTGATTCCACTAATTATTACGCATATAAAAATGTGTAAATACCCTGGGACGAAGGTATTTATATGACCGAGATTTAATGAGATCATGTCTGTATTTGATCTCATGAATTATGAGTATTATCATAATAAGTAGGAGCACATGGGTACATACACATATGGGTACATATTTATTTCGTGTCTATGCCGCGGTAATATATAAACAAAGCTGTTTTATATGAAATAAATATGTTTGTTCTCAGTATTAAGGGCAAACACTCTACTCATAATGTACTCGTATTTGAAAATTTTTGTTTTTGATAATAGCTTGTCGACTCATCTTATACACTATTTCTGTTCCTGAGAGCTAGATGAATGACATTTCCCTGATAGCCAGTTACATATGTATTAAGTTTCAGGCAACTAACGCGCATTAATATTTTAATCATTTTAATAATGACAGATTTTCCTGTGTAATTACGTCTCGGGTTCCGGTGATTTGATAGATCAATATCTTGCAACCCGCCCCTGCTTTGTAGATAGCATAATAATGTAATATGCACAATGACATCTTTTCGTTCCTGTGTTATTGATCTCAGAAGATAGATACGGAAGAAATCCATGCGTAAATAAATATTTAAAGACTGTCGTTATATTTTATCAGATTTTGTAAGATCCTAATGTACTATACAGTTAAACTTTCCTCCCTATTTACCCACCTAATGCCGTATGAAAATTAATTAAGTATTTTTTGAATATATAGTGTTCATGCAACAAGATAGCAAAATAAAAAGACGCGGCGCGGTGGGGACTTTCTTTTATAATTTGTAACGATCATGATTTTAAGGGAGACGGATGGAGATAATTATGTTTTATCCTATTATTTCCATGTCCTTGTCTCGAACACAATAGGTACTCCTTGGTACTGAAGCTATAGAGCCGTAGTAGAATAGCAATATACTTGTTTACCGACGAGTAGATCATCACTTTAAGACCACAACTATTGAATATAATCTACTTCAAAAAGTATCTTTAATTTAAACTTTAAATATTTTTCAAAACGATTTAAAAGAAAACGGCTTTAGAGCCGTGAGGTGGACATAAATAGACGAAAATTTAATATTTCTCCAAGTGTCAAAGTTGTACACGCAAACATTATTATTGATTCGGTAGAACTCAGCGTGTGTGACAGAACAATGTCGTCCGTATGTCTGTCCTATGATCGATTACTCACGCCTATTAATAACTGTGCCTTGCCCTGTAGTGGTGGGCGTGAAGCGATAACCCGCAGACATAAGATCACGACGCCAAACGGTCTAATGTTTCATGTGTACTTTGAATTAAACGATAAAATAAATGTCATAGAGATCTCCATGTTTATAGTAAAAACGATTAAATTACTCTATTTTAAAAGCGACGATAATGCTGCTTAGTCCATAAAGACGAAATATAAATATAATATAATATAGGTATGTACATACTTAAATAAAATAAAAGAGACCAGACTAAATAACAAGTTAGAAGGCTATGTATCAGTATCATAATTGTAATATATGTATATGTATTTTATGAGTCAGGCATATTATACGAGTACTATTTATTATTTTACACTCTTATAGCTTGGTATCTAAGTAGCAAGATAGTAAATGCTCATAAGATTTCAATAATGAATTATTATTATATTATGGTAATTCAAAGAAATTGTAGGACTCACCAGCAACTAAAACCACGCAGAACAAAATCTTCCCGTTTAACATTTCCAATTACTTGTGTCCAAATATTATACTACCACCACAATCTTACAACTCACAAGCAATATACAGTACGTAAATGGTATGCTGTACTAAATTTTCTGCCGTCGTTTTTGTGAAGCGTCCGCGTAATCAAACCGCGATAGGAAGATTTGAAATCATAGAGCGGTGTTTATTGTGTAGGACTTATCTGTTCACTGGTGCATCAGAGACGCTTGAGGCGTGTTCCAGGATGGACGGAAGGGGGGATCACAGTGGTGGTGGTAGCGATAACCTCTTGCTCTGCGGGAGGACGAACTGGCGATAACAGTTGTGACTTTCAAATGAGAGCGAGTATTCTTTTGCTCCACAGATAACCGCATGGCACTTTTAGTTTTTATGTTAATCTAAGCTGCTATGGTTAAATCATTATTAATTGAATTTTTTTGTTTGTTATCAGTTCGAGTTTGAAATAACGGTTTGATTTGTTTTTATTTAATTAAATTTTTGTAATTTTCTGTGTTTGAAAGTCATTTATATTTTTATAATAACAATCAGGATAATAATGGCGATCATGGTGATGAGAGTCAAAAAAATTATATACACAGTAGAGGCGGTGAATTTCCTCAGGCGGACCCCCTAGATTATGCAACAGTCTCCATGAGGAGCCCGTGACCTCGGAGAACCTTCCTTTCCAAATGCTCCTTGAAACTCCAGCGACCTCTATTTTTCCCACTCTAGTGAGCGAGTGGGTGGGAACTGTACCTCTGCGTTTCTTGTGGAATCACAGGACTTTTGTCTTATGGGGTGCTACCCGCAGGCCCAGCCCGCTTGATTTTTGGAAGACCATGCCCTCCGGCCCCCAGTCAGTACCAACTGCGGCCGGAGGGCATGGGGTGATGTCATCCGCATAGCGAGGCAGACTGGTCCTCAGGACCGCATCATACGCGACGACTCGAAAATAGTGTTATTTTTCTAAATTAATATTTTTAGAATTTACTGTTTATTTGCCTTAGTTTTTTTTTAAGTTTTCTATATAGTATAGGTGTGCTTGTCATGCATGATATCCAGTATATAAGTTATGATTGCGATACTAAGATCTTCAATCTGAAGATCTTTGTATCTATACTTCAATCGAAGTTTGTAGAGTAGCAATGATGTATATGCTCTATAAACACTACAAACTTCGATTAATTACGTTAAGTGTTAATGATAATAATTCATTATTGCAGAACATGGTGTCCAATTTGTTAGTAACAATACTCTTAGAGACTAGTTTTAGTACAATACATATAGAAAATAAACCAAAGTTAAGTGGATTGGATACGGGAGTGAGTCGACGAAGTGTAAGGTTGAATGACAGGGGGGTCTAAGTTTTAAAACGTCTTTTATCTTCATCATTTCTAAACTTATTATATATAAGTATAAAAACGCAAAATTTGAGTTATTAACAGTACAATATAATTAATCTTTTTTGTTTTGCTTAATTTTTCAAATGTTTGATTCGATTAAGGAACTGTACCAACAGTTACAGTTAACAGACACTATTAAAACATTAACAGTTTCTATTCAAAACATGTGACGTCATACTATGGGGTAGGGGGGTTGTTTCACAAATGTGACTAGCTGTGATAAGGAGGGGGGTGGGGTTCAAAAAACCATGAAATTGGTGTAATATGTAACTAATTTATGAATGGCCACAGATAAGATTTTGATTCCTTAATAAATATTGTTTGTTGCTCACAAGAGCAAACACACAATACTTACGATTATAACGTATGTATGTACATATAATTTAAGTCTCATAGTTGCAAGTAAATTCGCATATTGTCTTTTGTTAGGCAATTGGAACTGTGAGTATGTAAGCATCGAAGTTGCTCCACAAAAGGACGAGCCGCTAAAGACCGGCCGTTACAGACCTTCATTGTTACTGTCAACATTTGACAAAAATATCGATATTGATTTTATTTTGTCGCATGATTTCATTTACTTCCTATCACTGAGAACTCACAAAGGTTATCGTTAATTATTCCGTGTCAGTCATGACTACGCCATCACTAAATATAAAAATTGTTTTTAAGTATTAAATGGATTCACTGGATTCTCCGGATGTATAAAACTTTTACTGCTATTGTAATTATTTGATAGAATCATTTTACAGACTAAGATAAACACGCAAATGTTTTTAGACTAACTCAAGTCTAGCCCGTCTTCAGTTTAAGGGACAGCGGATCTCACATCTGCTCTCCCTTAAATGCGTAATAATCTCATACCTAATATTTAATATAATTATATTCAATGTTAATTTCTATACGATACCTTAACGGGTTCCTGTCACATCAGAATAGAATAGAACAGAATATATTTTATTTTGCAAATATGGATGATAGGTGTTACAGTACATTAAAGCTCAGTCATATTTTACCAGTGGCGCGCAAACATTTTTTTGTATTAGACTAAGTTAACATGCTTTTCATATCCAAAGCCACAATAAAAATAATATTGAATCTTAGTATTATGTAATAAAAATCAATAATGACACAATAGTAAACATACAACATAAACTGCACAATAGACATTGAGATAACACATCCATAATCATAGCACTTAAATATTGTTTTGTTTGCCGATAAAAATTCTGTTACACTGTAGTTTTATTTACTAGAAATTTACGTAGTCTACTGTTAAACATAACTGTTCCCAAACTCCTTCTACCCGCTAGGCGCTTTACGAGTATTATATATAAGTGCTGTCATACCATAAACACTTTTGCGCATTAACGTGGTTTGACAACTTAGGTGACATAATGTCAAAATATTATACAGCTTGAAATATGGTTTGTAACTGTCAGTAGTTTTAACTTATAACTCCTTATAACTCTATACTTAAGACTTTTAAGTTTAAACATTGATCGGAGGCATCTTTTTTGAGCCTTAAATGCTAAATCTTTATCAGTTGTATTTCCGCAGAATATGACACCGTAGCATAAGTGAGATTCAACTATACCGTAATAAGTAGTAAGAAGTGCTTTATGGTTCACCATGGAGGATGGTCTATGTAAAACATATGCCGATGCATTAAAATTTTTTCCACAGAATATCTATATGTGCTTTCCAGGAAAATAATCTTGACGGATAGACAGGCAGAACAACAAACAGAAAAAAAGGTATTTCCTTTTGAGGAATAGAACCTAGGTAGATACATACAGTCGACCGAGAACCTGTATGTAATGTGATGTAATAATTAAAGAGGTTGCGTATAAAACGGTAATTTAATACAATATGCAATTTATTGGTCACCCATCAGAAAAAGCCGCAATGAAGAAGAAGGTTGAACGTGCCTGAAAAGCGTATATATTATATACTAGCTGAGACCCGCGGTGTTACCCGCGTTTGTTGTTATAACCGCGGGCAACGCCGCGGTGCGAAGCTAGTCTAAAAAAAGTAGCCTAAGTTACTCCTTATGTCATCAGATATCTGCCAGTGAAAGTCCCGTCGAACTCGGTCCAGCCGTTCCAGAGATTACCCGGAACAAACAGACAGACCGACAGACAAAAATGGTAAAAAATGTTATTTTGGCATATGTACCGTGTAAATATACATATGCATTTAGTAAAAAGCGGTTATTTTAATATTACAAACAGACACTCCAATTTTATATATTTGTATAGATCACACATCTCAAACAATTTATTTATTTTTTATGTCAGAGGTGGCAGACGAGCAGAGAGGGTGATGGAAAATGACCATTGGTGGTTTACTAATGTTTAGTTGAACACTTACTTGAAAATTTCATGTTTTTACGAGTTGACGTAAAGTAACGGGTCTACCAATAGGGATGACCTGGTTTTGACAGCTCATAGTGGCCATGTTTGATGATGGATCTTTGACGTCTCTTGACATTTGTGTTCAGTAAGGTGGTTTGCCATTTTATCATGTCACGTTACACTTTAAACCAACGCTTGGAAATTGTCCAAAACTTCTTTCAAAGTGACGAAGGAAACCCTGTTACTGTGAATGGCGAGCGACGGCCGAAATGGTGCACCGCGTCATCGAAAATTCGGCGTGAGCGGGTGACCGTCTGCAAAAAGAGCCGCGGCAGTCATTTGGCCCAAATATATTATTTAAAACATAAATTGCATAAAATTATCTATCAAATAAATCAATCGGATGCATTTTTCATAAAAAAATGTGTGTTTTATTCAATTTTTAAACCAGGACGTTCTTATTGGTAGTCCCCATATTCTAGAGCCACTCTATGGGCGAGTTTCCTAACCCAGATTTAATTTAAACTAAGTCTAAGAAAAATGAACTGATCCCAAAACTACTTTGATTTGTACTCCAAAGTCACCAGAGAACTCGCTTATAATTTTTGTCGTAAAGTATGTGTTTGTCCCTAAAACCTAAGCAAAATTAGTAATTTCCAGCCACAAAGTCACTAAATTGGCAATACTGTTTTGAATTTATGCTACTATTAGTTTTTTTTAGACTCTTATTATTTTAGTATATTATAATCTCTGCCTGTTTTTAACTATTTTACTTACTTTTTATTACTACCTTATGCGGACAGACCACCATAATGAACGGTAATGATTAAGCGACTTATTACATGTCCGAGTAATGACTGTCTAGTCATTGTCAAGTAGCAAGGCCAGGGTTCCCAGGGTTTTCATTTGTGTTTCGAAACAACTCGCTAATGTCACGGTCACATATGAGTAAGGATTAAAAATATTGTAATAAATAATTTCTGTTTTGCATAAAAACGTACCTAAATGTTTTTATCTGTCTGTAATTATTTTATCAGACACATCACAGTACAAAATAAATATGCTTATATTAAATTCATGGTGTAATAAAAAATCAAGAGTATCATTCAACTGCCTCTGCCTCGTCAAAATCGAGTAAATGACAGACTACTTTACGGTTTATTGGAAACTAGAGGCAGAGATCTTTATCAGGCTTATCATAGATGGGCGTCGCAATTGAGAATACATTTTAACGTCTTGGTAACAACGACCATAAAGAATA